GGCAGAGCAATCTTCTCCACTGCAAGCCCGTAAAAGCCCAGCTTTTTCTCTCTTGTACATCTGCTGTTCTCACTTGCTTTTAAGGATGCAGCAGTTTCAGTAGATGCACATTTTGTCTCTCTTTTCTCAGCACAGGACTCCACTGTCAACTCACACTGCATGGCTGGTTTCTGCAGAGCCCCATCTGCAAAGGAGAGATGTTACACAAACACAAAAGAAGGCAGGGCATTTGTTCCACCCTGGTTCAAGGCTCACATTAGTGGCAGCAGGGAAAATATACCATATGCTTGCCTAAGAGTCCAGAGTGAAATGAAAGAATGCAGCAGTGGACTTGATTTTCCATCATCAGAGTTTTCAATGATGGAGGGTATGTGTTGCTGTTTGCCACACGTTTTCTTGGATCTCACTATTGGATATATATATATGGATATTTGAAGCAGAACAGTGTTCTTGCATTGTGCTTGAGTGCACAAGAATGCAACTCCAGAAATCATTTACTAGATGAAATGTAGCACTTGCCTTTCCCCTTATCTTTGGAGAAGCAGTGTCAAAATATGCTTCCCAAGATTTGAGCAACTCTAATACGACAGAGGAAAAAGTTGCCACCAGACTTTTGTCTCTGAAATATTTGAATGCTTGATTCCTTAGAGCTCCCAGACCTTTATTTTTGAGCAGGACGAGGAGGCCACTGCAGTTCAATGTAGTTGTTTCAACAGTATAATGAAGTTGTACAACCAAGCTCAATCTCTGTGAAAGGCCTTACTTGGACTTGATGCCTATTGTGATTCATCTGAGAGATTAATAAAATAATTTCCTTAATGAACAGGTGCATATAGCAACTGGGGTTTTGAACTGGGGAGAATCATACTGAATCCTAAAATTATCGCCAGAGGTCTATTTGGATTGCTGTACTGGAAGAGATGAGCACATCTACATAACAGCTCATGAGAGGCAGAGTTGGCCTGAATGAGGTTGGATCATCACAGGATACATGTCTTACATGCCAGAGTAGGGACAAAATATTTTACAGCACCCCAGAAGCAGACTTGATATTTACAGTAAAAGGCAAAACAACTGTAGGAAAAAAGTAGGACAGAAAAACCATTGGCATTTTCTTGCAGGAAGAAGAAATTTTTAAAATCAACTCCCAAAGTTAACTCCTTTGATGCAATCTAAATTTGTGCATGTTCATGCCAAGGAATGGCAGAATAAGGAAACTAATGACCCTAGCATTTGCTTCCCTCATGCATGGGTCACTGGAGGAGTTTCTCCTTCATTGTGGAGATAGGTAGAATATAGGTAGGTCCTATTCTCTTCTGCATAGACAAAATTTGTTTACATTGTACAAATGATGATTTGATGTCATCAAATTCATTAAACAACTGTCCTCTTAGAATGAGATTTCTCAACCTTCATTCTAGTTTCAAATTCACAAGAGGATTTTAACTTAGAGGCATGGTATCTTTTTTTAAAAGAAATATGATTAGGATATTGAGGGCCTTAATTTTAAAAATGCAAGAAAAAAGCTTGCTGTACTTGGGCATTTTGTTGAGAAAGGTGGTGGATCCATCTTCTATTTTTCTCACCTGCTGACTGACTTTACAAAGGGCCCATCTGATGGTCATTTAATGATGACTCTCAACGCTAAAGGTCTCATCTTGACTAGAGATCAAGATGAAGAAGACAATGGGTCTTTTGTTACTGTTTGGAAGACATCAGTGAAGCTGCTTTGTAGAGGCTGGGGACAGTTTCTCTGGTATTCAAATGCATGCCATACTGATTAATCTGTGCTTTATAGCGCTGGTTGTGGGTGTAGATCCTCTCTCATAACTCGTGAAGATTTTTCATGCTGAAGCATCCAATACTGGCTGTTGCATCAGCAGGGGATGTGTGTAATAACACTGTATTTGTGTTACAATGAACTCATGACTAGCAGTGAAAGCCTTCAGCATTCAGATGTACCTACTGTCAACAAAACCTGGTACAGACTGTAAGTAGAGATTCATCCCTTCAACTGTGTGTATATATATATATATATATGTATAAACAAAATAAACTATTGCTTTATTTTGGTCGCCAGATGCTTCATCTGGGACCTGGCAGTTGTTGTATGGACACTAGTATCCTCTCACTGTTTCAGGTATCCTCTCACCCTGGAACACATGAAGAGTCACAGTTTTTAATACGTGGTGTGTAATTCTCCCTGGATGCAGGGAACACACTTTGGTACTTTATTAATGCAGAGCACTGCTGAGGATTCAAAAAAATAAGTTAATCCTTAAATGACATATTGAGTTTGGGCAGCTTTCCGCCCTCCTTCCAGGAGTGGCATCGAGCAGCTCCATCAGTGTCCTGTGCTGGTGTGTCCCAGCTCTGCTGCATGGCCCCTGTAGTGTGCTCCTGCAGCTGTGCCCATGGAGCTGTGAGCCAAGATGCCATCCTTCCAGGCTGCTAACAAATCTCCAGCCTCTGAGGCAAGTGCTATCAGCTTAATTTTTGTTAAGTTGTTCTTGCAAACAGCCCCTTCTCCTTCTCCGTTCCCCTTCCCTTTCTTCCTCTGGGAGAAATGCCTCCTCAAGGGTTTGGATTTGAGCCCAGGGTTTTATGTCTTAACTCAAAAAGGAATACACTCCTTTGGAGCACTTCCAACCTTTTTTTTGATACCTGAGAATTCTAGATATATCAGTAGTGCTAATCTTGCTTTTGTTTGTTTCCACTGAGCTCTTCTTGGGGAAAAGAAATTTGCACAGATGATCATATTTACGAAAGTCAGAAATGTGTGATAGGAGATCTTCCCTTCCAGTTGTTTTACACTTGTTTATTATATGCACAAGACGTAGTCCTCTTGCCATCCAGCTGAAACACCTTGTCCCTTTGATTATTTTTCTTTTGTAATTTGCATCCTACCAACAGTTGTAGGTTTAGAAATATTCCACAAATAGAAGCTGATAGTGAAAAACCTTATTTCTGTGACAAGACATAGTTCTAAAAGAGCATAGAAAAAAAGGTTGTGTAATGATTTAGGTATCTTTTAAATTCATGAAGAGAAACTTAAAAAAAAAGTAAAATTCAACTTTGTATTCTTTTCCCTAAAGAGAAAATTTTGTTTTGAAGGGCACAAAGCATCAAATTGCTTAGAACAGATAAGCACAACAAAATGTTAGGACTTTCAAGACTTTCTAAATTATTCTAATGAAAGCTTTTTGAGCATCTTCAGGGGTTTAGTTTGCTTGGTTTGATCAGCTAAACACTTTGCTTGATGTTTTCAGGACCTTTTACTGACCAATATTGAGTGATAACCTTGTTTGCAAAAAAGTAAGTTTTTAATTCTTGAACAGTTGCAGAACAGTCTGGTTTTGAATAAATGAGTAATTTAAAGCAATCCCATAGTAAGAACATAAAGAGTCACAGAAACATATTATGTGAAGTGCACAGTGAATGCCAGAATTTACAAAATTCTTTCCAAAGCTTTCCAAAACACAAACTGAGTTCTACTGTGAGAATGCATTGTATTTATTCATGTAATCTAAAGGGACGTTTTCAGCAGGGGCCCCTTCTCCTTTGAGTGCACTGATTAGATTGGAGCATTACTCAACCTGAGATGACTTATTCAAGACCTGTTGGTTATTTTTTAATCACCTCATTTAACCAGTTTAAAAGATGGTTAAGACATAGTCAGCCAACCAACTCCCCAAACTACCCCACTCCTAAATTCAGCACTAATGGCAACACCCTATGAACACTCCTTGTACATGTTCCTCTCTACCAGAAGACATCAGCAGAGTAGTGCAGTAAACCCCAGTAAAACACGACTATTAGGTGCTTCATTTTCATAACAAGCATGGCTTTGAGAGATTGAAACATCTAAAAGACTTATAGCTGGCTCTGTCTCAGGCTCTCTGCTGAGCTTTAAGTCCTCTTTCTGAAATATTTGAGACAATGATACTTCCAACAGACAAAACGAAAAACAACAAAAAAGAGTTTAAATTTTTGCTTTTTCTTTTCCAAGGCTTCACCATTGGTGGGAAACATGATGAGAAAGCATTCAGCTTCCCAGGAGATGTCAAATAACCCACACCTGCCAATTTTAAGTGACAACACTGCTTTTCTCTGTACCTGGCACAAATCTCCTGATATAGTGGTTTCTTATGAAAGGTGTGCTCTCTGTATAGATGCTGTTCTGCAAACCAGGAAATCCAGTGTTAGGGCTGCCCATGTAGGAATTGTAGTTTTGATCAAAAGCAGCTACCTTGACTGTTCAAATGTTTTCAAAATGCACTACCATTCATACTTCTGGGCATCATTGCTGGCCTTCTCATAGCTGCCAGACGTGCAAGTGAGTGTGTGCTGACACTCGGTCTGGATCATGGCTCTCTCCTATGACTGACCACCTTGCCACCTGTGTGCTGCTGCAGGATGGGGCATGGCTGACCTGTCAACAGAGAGATGCTTGTGCTGAGCTAGAGGATTCCTGTGCCAAATTCAGCACCGTGCTCCTTAAAGCTGGTCTGGCTAGCGGTAAGTGCAAGGGGTGAGTGAGCTCTGGTGAACTCCCAGGAACACGGGATACATAGGATGGTGTAGTGCTTATCTGCTGGTTCCCCTCTGACAGCCTCAGCCGTTTAGCCCTGGATCTAAGTCCTTTGGACAAACAAAACTCTCCATAGTCTTGAATCATCCAGATGCTGAATTCAATAATCAGGCATATTTCTGGCCTACAGCTACAGACCAAAGGAAGGAAGGAAGGCACTAGTGTCACTGAGCTTCCCACTGACTGACATTTTTTACATACACTGAATAAAAACCAGAAGTTGGGAGGCAACTTGTTGCTTGCAATCCCTGCAATAGGCACAGTTTATCCTTAAGACAGACCAATACATCCAAATAAATGTATTTTTTGCTAAATGACGCATCTACAAGAAAACGCCCTTCTTAACTGAAATTTTCTTTTCAGCTGTTTTCTATTGAGGTATTCGATGCAACACAAAAGCACTTCTAAGTATGTTGTGTAACAGTCACTTTATTGCAAAATGAATATTATAAGACAGAAAAATTGTTTCACATAGTTCAGCTCTTGAAAGAAATGTACAAGCCATGTTCTGTTTGTAGAAGGGACAACATGAAATGCAAACTGAGGGCAAGACTGGCCATTGTGAGGTGCTCAGCTTGTAAAATGGGAGTGAAGAGTCCATCAGTATTCATATTACCCTGAGTATCATTTCAGTTCAAGGAACGACTTCATTACTTTTATCTAGTATATTGTACACCTGTTAGGGGTTTTATTTACCTGAGGTTTCTGGTAGTTAGGCTGTAAAGAGCAACTAACTACCTTGTAAACAGTGATGTTGAGTTTGATAGATGACAGTATTCTGACTTTCTCCTCAACTGGCAGTTAAAGACAATAGATAAAGGGCTAGGTTCTGAGAGGCTGAGATCTTATAGCTTCAAGACTTTGGGAAATAAGTAATTTTTCAATCTAGAGCTGTTTCGAAGGAACTTGAATATAGAGAAGCCACTCTCATATAGAGGCGCTCTGACTTTTGCTTTGAGCTTTTTGTACCGTTTGCTTTTGTACTTTGGATGGGCTCACTTCAAAGTCAGGGAGTACTTATCCCCGATTATTTCATTTAACAATACTATGAATGAGGAGGGAAATTATTTTCTTACACCCCAAGTGCTGTGTAACTACAGGGTTTATTTCACCTATTTCCACATCTCATCTTGTTTGATCATCCATGTGAATCTTCTACAAAGCACATTCAAAATATGATACAAATGTCAATGAAGTGCTTGGAATATTTGTAATATCAAATGGCAAGGCTGCAGGTGACTGTAAAAACTCAAAATGTTTCCACTAAAAGCAACAGCCTCCTGATAGAAACACATGGCATTGGCTCTGAGAACGTTCACTCCAATTTTCTACAATGAAGTAGAAAGGAAAAAAAATCGACCATTTCCTTGAATTTTAACATTAAATTCTGTACTTGGGCAAATGGAATTGGTACTTTAATCAACATTAAAGTATCATTTCAAAATACTGACGAGGTGCAGGAGAGGAATTAGTATTTAGGAGGCTTTCACAGAACTTTGTTTCAAAACACAAATATTATGCAGCAAGCATAGCCACAATAAAAACTGTAGCTCTTCCACTGCCTCACTAAAGGAGTTCCAAAAATTCTGAGTTCCAAAGTCCTAATTTCTCCTCTGTCTTTGCATCCTCATTTGCAAAATTGTAATAACATTTCAATACTTCAGAGAAATGGTGTAAAGATTATTTTGTAAGATATTTGCTTATGACTCAAAAAATATTAAGCACTAGGTATTATAAATTATGTGCCAATTTCTCTTAAGCAGCAGTAAAGCCTGAGTCAAGTGATTTGCAGGACATCCCCATTGTAGCTTCTGTAATTCATTTTTTATAAGGTTATCTACATAAGAGCTTTATGTAATTAAGAATCACTCCTAGCTTAGCATCTTCATTTTAAACTATTACTTGTTAGCTCTGCTAAATAGGTTAAAAATTACTAACTGCATGTCAAGTCACTATACTGCATGCCCCTATACTTAGAAAAAAATTTAGAAGACCTATAAGAACTATTTATTACTGCTTCTTGATTTTTATCCTTTGGTGGAGAAAATTTGTGCAGAACTCCCTGCAGTTAAGGACCATGACAGATAATCAGTTCAGAAACTGACTGAGGAAATTATCCTTCCCTAGAGCGCCAGCTCAGCAAACATAAGCAAGTAACCATGTCTCTCCTCATTAAGACAAAAATATAAGCATGTAATTAACTTGCAGAATGTGCTTCATTGCCAAAAGCACATGGATAAATGCTGTCTTGGAAAAGGACCATAAACACATATAATTTGTTGTTATTCCACAGACATGTTAATTGGATTCACCTCAATCAAACCACACAAAGTTCTGTGTCTGTTACCTAGTTGTGACTAACTTCATGCCATTGACTACTCTAAGGTCCACCCCTCTGCATTAGGCCATTATTGTACAATATATACAAAAGTATCTAAAAAGCATCCCCTTCCTTTCCAAGCCCTTGTGATATGTGCTTGATTAGGATTTATCCCCTAGTTTTCATGCAGTGATCTTGTGTAAATGCTTTTCTGTATATTGTCCAGAAAGCACACATGCTGTCTTGTGAGAGATTTCTGATTTCATGGATGTGGAATAAATACTCCATCAGTTCTGTCTTGCAGCATGAAGATCCTCCTTGGCCAAAGCTGCCAGTTCTTAGGTGCTTTGGGAAGAAGTCTGGGCATCGTATTTCCTAAAACTGTGGTTACGAAAAGATTCCCTGTAATGAAATAGATTCATAAATAGAGTTAGCAAATGAAAAACAATCAGAGAAATACCTGTCTTGTGAAAAGGAGCTCAGCTGAAACATGCTATGTGTTGGCAGGTCAGAGTTGTCATTTCTTCTTCTCCCACCCTAAACTGGACACAGTAGCTTTGTGAAGAAGAATATAATCATAACCAAAGAACGTAAGGTTCTTCTGTATCAGTCATGTGACTAAAAAGGATTATGTTTTCTGTAGTGAAAGGATGCCTTCATGCTGCCTAACACGACATGGTGTCATACTTGTTCTATCTCCTTTCTAGCTTCAAAGGTTGAAAGATCACAAGATGTTCCCAGTAACTTTGTTAGGGTGAAGGGGAAGTCTTCTCTAACGATGCATTAAAATTACATAAATCCTCTGCCTCGAAATGCAGAGCTTGAGAAACACAGCCAACACTACAATCATCTCCAGTGGAAGTCAGCAGATTCCTTTAATCAGTAATGGAGTTGCCAGTGCATATTATGGCTTGATTTTAGCTGCCAGTAAAACTCCCTTTTTTCCTTGCAAAAAATGGCATATTTTTCATAACCACAACAAATAACCCTGCCCTACCTTATGCTTTGGACTTTAACTACGGGTTTGTACAGCTCTGGGATCTTCCTCTCAATCATGGGTCTAAGGTTCTCCTTCAGTTTCATGTAGTTTCTTTTCAGCTCCTGATGATATTCCCGCTGGTCAGCAGTAATAAGGTGCCTGTTTTTCTCCACTGCTTCACCACACCTAGGCAAAAGGAAAGAAGAAAAGACATGATATACATAATCTACTTCTGTTAAACTCCCTCATTTCGTGTTGAGTAATTTAAGTGGACAAGTATCCATCTCCTTTTGTCTAGGCATTCCTGTGGTAACCTGTCAAGACTAAAGTGATAATGAACTAATAAGAAAGCTCTGTTTTTTCCAAGTACATAAATTGAGATGATTTTTTTTTAGATATTAGGAAAGCATGAGTGAACTATCAAAAAGCAAATTTAATGACTGCAGAATACTGAGCTAGCTGCCTACTCACTATATAAAAATAAATTGGAAATAGCAATACTTATAAACTGTATCTTCTGCATAAGACTTCTTTTTATTTAACTCAAACTTATCCTTCATCAAGGAGGATAAGGACTAAGGACTAAGGAGATAAGTATCTTCGTGTGTGAATATGTTTGTTGAGATTTACAAACATACCTAAAGTAAAGGACAAGTGTCTGCCATTACCACTGTTTCTGCTTGACAGATGCGATTTTCTTAAGAACAGCTTTCTACGTAGGAATGTAATTTTACTAAAAACTATGTCAAGGCAATAGTCTGAAATGTTTGCTTTCTATAAGACGTCGAAAGATAAAACAAATGGAAGATCTTAATTTATACATTATTAGTTTATAGTGTTAACATTTCTTTCTTTAAGAATGCAGTGCCTACCTAGGCATTAATGTGAAGCAGAAATAACAAGTGTCTTCCAGTGTTTAAAGTGTGAGATGGCAGGATTCATGATGCTAACTTGCATAGGTAATTACTCAATATTATCGTTGCATTATTGCTAATATTGAATGAATTGATGCAATTCAGCATTTCAGTTTTGTTTTACTGACCTCATTATAAACTCTTTGAAGCACAACCTCAGCTTGTTGTGATGTCGATAAAGTTTGGGGTCTGCTGGAATTTCAGCCAGGAACACTTGCGCTACCTCTAGCGGTCCCTTATAGAAACAACACAGGAAAATGTCAAACCCACCTGCTTAGACTGAAAACAAAACATACATTTGTTTAAAGCTGTTTGTTATTTCATGAGTGCAGTTATGAAAGAAAATAAAACTATGCACAGTTACCATAATAGGATGGGTTTTAGCTCCCTTTCCCCAACAATACTTCCTTTGGCAAGCAGAATTTTTTCCTGTCATATCTTATCCTCTCCTGTTATTTTTTCTCCTCCAGTTCCACAACAAAGGGAACAAATTCTATTCCATAGCAGAGAGGAGCTGGGACTGCCCTAGTGACAAACCTGGTTATACTAGAGAAACACAGCTCTTGTGTGTGTATTACAAGACCTTCAGGCAATAAGCCCAGAGCTGAAAAAGATCACTCTTTGCAAAGCTTACAACAATACATTATTTCATAATAGATGCTTTGGTTGGTGATGAATCTGGAGAACCTGAGAGTATTTAGGCTTTCAGCAAAAAAACTCAGGCTTTGTGAAATTGTGTGTGACACCAAGTTTTTCCTCAAGCATGTCTTCATAATACCATTTTAATTTTTTTCAATTGCCTGGGCTTTCTTTTTTAGTGTGTATGTTTATGTTATACTATTGCATCTCAGCTTTATTTTGGGGCACTCAGGTCTTGACTTCCTGTATTGACTTAATTTCCATGAAACTGAGTTTGTGGTGGTTCCTAGGAGAATTGTTATTATTATTCCCATTCCCCAAGGATACATTTGGAATGAACAAAATGGCTGAGATGGCTAGCATGTTAGAAATGAAAAATCCTTACATGCATTCACAAGGCTTCTGCCAGTTTCTGCACCTACAGGCAGGACAGTGCTTCCTGTGAACAATTTCACCAAAAGCATAGCTAAGGAACAGTATACGGTGGCTAAAATCAAGGCATTGAGTTTAAATGCACACAGTGACTAAATGTGTCTGACTAAATGTACTTCTTCCAGTACAATAAATAGGAGTGCAAAAAAGAATGCAAAGTGAGAAAAGTACACTTCACCTGGCTTGCTTGGATCCCTTACCTGATTTACAGTAGCTCCAACTGAGCCCTGCAAAACCATCTGGAGCATTTTGGCATCTGGTGGTTCTTGGTTGGTGGCTGCAGTTAGTTCCTGTGTTTTTTTACGCATATCTTCAATAGCAACTTCAATTGGGGTTAAAATAAACTAAGGGAAAGGGAAGAAAAGATGGTCCATTTCCTGAATCATGCATCTTATCATTTGCAAGAATAGGGAGTGAATAAGACCTCCTGTTTACATAAATTCATTCTTATTCTAAGTTACTTCATGCAATGGTGTTGCACTTTCTACAGTATGAAGCTTCCCTGTCTCTAAACAAGCCCTAAGCCCAATCTAGTTCTCTGACTGTACTCCTATCCTACTTCTGCTTTATCAGCTCGAAGTATAGCTACAAACAGGGCTCTACATATCCTCCTACACAGCATTAAAGCTAGGAGGTCAAAAGAAGAATGCACAGTGGCTATTGTCTGTTCTCCATAGCAAATCTCTATCTTGCCTTTTCTGTCTCTGATACTCCTGTTTACAAGAGCAATGTCTGAAAAATTCAGTACTCTTTTTTTTTTTGCCAAGCATAAATTTGGAAATTTTCCCACCAGAGACTCCTTCAGTCCTTGAGAAACTAGATTTGTCTTCAAAACCCAGTTACCTCTTCTCTTTGGATGACATTGATTCTAGTTTTGATGTAGGGGAAAGCATGCATTGTGGTTAGGATGGTGTTCCTCTTGTATTGCTCACAAAGTTCTCCTCTGGGACGCCCATCCATAGTGAAAGGTGTAGTGTACATGAACCGACAGATGTTGAAGTTCTTCTCAAAGTAGGTAATCCTGTCCTTCATCTCATACTCATCAAAATAGGGCTCCACAAAAGTAATTTGTATGTATGCCTAAGAAAAGAGGGAAAAACCATTACAATACTTTACAACCCGAGGAATGTAAAAGGAATGGCACATGTGAAGTATCCCATAGTACACGCTGGCTAAAGATGGTCTGGAAAAGCACAGAGCTGAAAATCCTTCAGGGATCATTTTCTTATTCAGAGCTAACAAAACATGCGTCTAGGAGGGCACAGCTTAACCCTGGGGACCAGAACCAGGGCAGGGACTAGAGATTAGAACTTTTAATTTCTATACTCTGTGACAAGATACTATGCTAAGCCTGTCACAGAGGTTTTAATACCTCTGGGCACAGAGATACCAAGTTGGGTGGGTTTTTTTAGTGCCTTAATGTTTGAACATAAAAGTTGCAATAGGTACCTTCTTTCTTTTGAGTGACAAAGCACTCAACCCTCTTGTTAGCACTTTTCCTACCTTATTGGGATCCAGCTTTCTTTTGTCTACAGGAGCAGAGTCCTTAATCACTTCCACAGCATCCTCCCCAAAACACTGGCCATAAAACCCCTACAAAGGAAACAGAATTATCCCAAAATTTTAGTCCTTGATGCAATGCTAATGTAATTCTAGGAGAAAGGAGTAACAACCATGATGATTTCTGGGCTTTGTACAGTCAGTGTACTGCTCCACAAACCACAGCTGGCCAGGGTAAGGCACCCTCTGACAAAGATCACTGTGAGTTGCTTGGACAATCACAGAACTTGAGGTAAATCAATAGAAGGCAACATAGCCATTCTATAAAAAAAGTTAAAAAGATACAAAAGCAAATATCTGACATGATCAAAATCACTCAGTGTATTACAGGCCTGCTTATAAGAGACATAGCCTTAAAAGAATGGATCACTTTGATTATTATGCTTTAAAAAAGGATACTGTGGAAAGGATATGCACTAAGGAAATAATCTATGCTACAAATCAGTTTGTTACTGATTTTTTTAATATAGGAATAATAGTATTAGGACTGTGTAGGTTCATTGAAAAGTATAACATACCATATGAGATCATGTTAACATAGTGTTTTTCCTTACCTCTAATCTGTGAGAAATCTCAGGGAGTTTTGTAATTGCAGGCTCCTTATAAACAAATTCCTGTTCATCCAAGTCCCCAAATTTGGATCCATAGAAACCAACACGGAAGTAAGTTCCAAACATTCGTTTTTGACCCTAGTGGATAAAAAGAAGAGGAAATTTACAATTGCTTTCCATGGCCATTGTAGTGTTTGGATGCCTTTTTTTTCCTCCAACTGATGTATAAGAAAATCCACTAGTCCTACATTTTCCCCATTTCAAAGTCACTTCTATATGTCATGTGCTGGTGAATTAGAAGCACAGGAGGGAAAGCATACAAACTAAGGAGACATTTGACTGCAATCTAATTTAAAATTTAAGCTGGTCATAAAGGAGTTTTCATAAAACAAAATACGTTATTATTTTTTAAATTCCTTTGAATACACATAACAAAATTAAAATTTTGCAATTTTGCAATGAAAATTGACATGAATTTGAAACTGACTAGGCTTAGCAATAAGGTTTTTGTGAAGAAAGAGAAGGGACAGCATGAGTGCTGAGAATTTAGATGGGTTTTCATATTTCTTCTGTTTTATACCCGAAAATACTAGTGAATTGACAATAAAGTTATTTTTGTTAAACAGATGTGGCCAGGTAGACACAGACATATTCAGCTAAACCCATTTTATAGTCATCTCTGCTTTTTTGTATGGAGAGCCTTCTTACACCGTAGGCTGTGTAGGTAGACCAAAGCAGACGGAAGCTTTTGTTTGAAAAAGAAAATGCTACTATTTCAAATTCTGGTGGGTTGATCATGACAGGATGCCAGGTACCTACCAAAGCCACTGTATTATCCCTCCCTGCAACTAGACAGGAGAGAGACAATGAATGGTTCGTGAGCTGACATAAGGATAGGGAGTGATCACAAATTGTTTACCATCATGGGCAAAACACACTTAACTTGGGAAAACCAATTGAATTTATTACCAATGAAACTCAGAACAAGATAACAAGAAGCAAAACAATTTTTAAAAATACCTTTCCCCTTTTCTCCTTAGGCTCTACATCTTCTCTCCCAGTGGCACAGGGAGATCAGCAATGGGGAATGGTCAGTTCATCACATGTTGTTCCTCCCATAGCTCAGGGACAGAAGTCCTTCCCCTGCTCCAGCCTGTAATTCCTCTCTGCTCTACTGTGAGCTTCACATGGGGTCACAGCCTTCTTTCAGGCATCTACCTGCTCTGGCATGGGGTTCTGCATGGGCTTTAGGTGGATCTCTGCTCCCCTGTGGGTCTCCATGAGCTGCAGGGGCACAGCTGTCTCACCATGGCCTGCACTATGGGCTGCAGGGGGATCTCTGCTCTGGCACCTGTAGCATCTCCTGCCCCTCCTTCTCCACTGACCTTGGTGTCTGTAGAGCTGTTGCTCTCACATATTTCCACTCGTCTCTCCTCTGAGCACAATTACATCTGGCCAGTAACTTTTTTCCCGTTTTTAATATATTATCCCAGAAGTGCTGCCACTGTCATTGATGGGATCAGCCTTGACCAGCCTTGGCCAGCAGCTGGCATTGGCTCTGTTGGACATGGATAAAGTTTCTAGCAGCTTCTTAACCCTCCCCCTCCACTATCAAAACCTGGCCACACAAACTCAATACACACATGAACAGTTTTATTAACACCAGTCTTAAACAAACACTGCAACCCAGCAATGTGTCTTGCTGGCAGTGCCTTGCCTCACAAGTACCTTATTAATAATGCTGTCAAAGGCTTTCTGTAGCTTGCTGTGTGTCAAGGTAAGCTTCCTGAAGTCTCGATGTGCTTCCAGTATGGGGATGACAATTTTGTACACTTCATTCACAGTTTCATACAAACCTCCCTTCGAAATAAAAAAGAAAAAAAAGAAAAAAAAAGTTTTCATGCACTCTGAAAAGAAACTGTATCTCCATCAATGGCATGGATGAAAAGTGGATTTATGGGACTCATCTCTTAACCTGCCACGTTGCTTCTTCTGGTGTTCTGAAAACTAGTAATAGTAACTGGGCAGTTCTGAACAGCAAAGAATAAAAGAATGAACTGCATGTAATTTGGATCTCTGATCTCTTGGGCTCTCAAACCCAAATTCCTGTACAAAGCCCTGGTTTCTGCCTCAGGACTACAAGAACTAGAAATGCAGGTTAGCAGCAGGAAATTGATGTGTTTGTCATGTATGGCTCAGGGCAATCACAGCTGTGTCAGGACAAAGGGACTGAAGTGATATCTTCAGAGATGCTAAATCACAAATCCTTACATAGTAAGTGTAGATTATGAGGCTATTGTTGTATGCTGTGTAAAAGTATAGGAGTAACCCTCATATGCCTCCTAAAATACATACTTTATGCAAGATCTTTTTTTAGATGTACTGTCCCATGACAATACCAAATGAAAATCTTGGTTCCTGCCTGAGACAATCACTTTCTGTTGATGTTGCCTGTGATCTGCACAGTAGAGGTGAGTATGTAACTGAGCTAGGCTGACTGAGGCAGCCAAAAATGTATCCTCTTGTTATTTGCAGTGTGGCAGGTCTGTGATGGCTGGTTTAGCAGTACTACATCATCTCCGTGTGTGCAGGAAATGAAGCTGTGGATCTGGCCTAGGTAGTCCACAGTCCATTCCCTCCTGGTGATTCTGGTCCTCACTCACCGTGCTGAAGAGCTCTGCAGCTTGCTCCAGCAGCCCTACCAGTCCACTTTCTGAGAAATACCTCCCAGAACATATGCCATCTTCATCTGGAGACAAAACATCATCTGAAACAGCAGATTCCTCCAGCACATTGGACGAAATGTTCTAGAATACATCAGAGCACAGAAATCAAAAACCTGAATCAACAGTACATCACAAAGATTGAGGAAGAAATTGTTTCAACATATTTACATGATGGGAAGAGGAACGAGTTTTTCCAGGTGCAACCAGGGGACACGTAGTAACATTATTTTTTAGAAGTGAAAGTAACATTATTATTCTCCATAGATGGCAGATCAGGAGTTTTGCTGCAAGAATCATTAATTTTCTTTCTATCCTCAGGTTTAAAATACAGATTCCTGTACGTGTCAAACTAGCTCTTCTCTGGTGGCTGGATTTCCATGGAGCTGCAGTGAGCTCAATCCCCAATACTAATAGGGTCACAAGCAATGTGCCCTTCCTAGTGCTGGCACTTGGGGGTGAGAAATTCCAAACTTCATTCCAGACCTTCTGCCACCTGCTTGAATAAATTGAACTTTCAATTTTTATTCATCTTTTCCAAGCAGAAGAGAAGTAGGACACAGACCATATAGTTCTAAAAACAACAATAACTGATTGCTTCTTCTTGGTTCATCCTTTGCCATACCACATTTTAATCCTGCCGAATTTACACAGTTTCTTCTTAATGTTATGGATCTCATTGTGCATTTAAATAAAGCCAGATGAAGTCACTCTTTTGAGACCCTAGACCATGAAATAACATGTCTACAGTTCTTCAGGACTTCTTTGAATAAATGACACTAGGTGGCATCAACATTAAAAATTTTATAATACATAGAAACAGGTGCAAAACAACAGCAAAATATGTGTACATATAGTATGAGACGGGCATATGTAACTTTCAGCAGCAGTAGAAAGGCTAAGCTTCGATTTTCTATTAATTAAAAGGAGTTAAATTAGTGTCATAGTGTCTCACTTCAGCAGAAACTGGCAATGACAATCTGTCTGAGTGCAGGATGGATGCCAGCTGACTAGCTATCTGAGTCCTTAAAGGCATCTTTATAAAACAGCAGAGACATTTTGGGCTGTTACTATTGATCAGATTTCAGATAAAGAATTGGCACCACACACCACTAGCAGCATTGGGCTTTCCCCCCTGGGTTTTATGGATGTATTTATTTCTCCATGGGTGAAATTTACTCCAACCATGCTGCCATCATACTGCCTAGTCTGCACATCATGTCAGCACCACTGTAAGGGTGAGCACAGCTTCAGCATTCACAGGAATACAGAATACATCTGAATTTTGGCCAGAGGAAGAACCACAGGACATTTAGCACACCTGCGTCACCTTTTACTGACCAGTCTCATTGAAGTGTGAGACTTCAACCAGACTTAGTACCTCCAGAAACTCACAAGCCATACAGATTAATTTATAGTTTTCCTTTTCTGTAACAGTAGCCATTAAGGACTGTTTTCATGTGACTCTGGTGGCTTTTTTCAAATTTTTTTCCTTTTGTAGCAAAGAGAAGAAAATCTAGAGAAGTGACTTACACACAAAAGTAATGAGAAAGTCACAGACACCAATTATCCCTTCTCCACCTTTAAGCCTCTAATAACTAATGTCAGGAATGTATTTCCATGTTTTACAGTCCATGCACTCTCGGAGGAGAGAGCCTGCATGACATACTTCTGGGACTTGTATGATCTTTTGCAAAGTGGACATGCCTCACCCAACTTTAGCCTTGATCCACCTTTCATATTGAAGAATTTTACATAACCCTTGTATAATAAAGGCAATACATAAACCACCATGTATTTTATTAGCAATTATATTGAATTTCACAAGCATATTTTTCATTAAGAAAAATAAATACTTCTGTAAACTCAAAAACCCCTGTGATCCCCAGCCCTTAACACCATGTTAAATAAAACCAAGGTAGCCTGCAACCTAGATGCCCAAACAACCCAGGCAAATTAGGCTGCTGCTGAGCCATGTACCTCAGCAGGTAGACACATTTGTCTGTTAATACAAAGTGGCTTTAAAGTCAGTCCCTATGCACTTCATACTCTCACTAATTCTGCTCTACTGCTTGTGAAGGGGATTTAGTGTAAACGTTAATTAAGCTCAAACAGAATTCTACTGAAAGTGACCCCACTCTGATTTTCAGGGATAGTTTTGATTGCAGAGAGGGGAGCATTTTTTCTGGTGAAATATAAGGAAAAGTATTACTCTACTGACAGTCAGTTTTCTGACTCACTCCGACCCACTGATTTGATCCTTTGCTGACCCATTTTACTCATCTGTAAAGGAGATTATATCCAGAATAATATTTTTATTCCCATTATTATCACCCTCAATTCCACAACTAAATGCATATCACCAATATTAATTGGTCTCACATCTGAGCCAAATGAAGAAATGATCACAGAAGGAGTCAGTGAGCGAGATCTGTAACTACGGATAAAGCCAAGCCAGTCTGCATAGTGTTTCCCTCTTTTAACAAGGTCATCTGAATAAGATCTTTACCGGTGCAACAAAATGTAAACCTGTTTTTAAAGAATGGGAAACTTTTTCTTGGAAGCCTATGTAAAAATGCAAAGGGTTATTACAGTTAATTATTGTTATTGAGTAAACTGAAATTCAAAATTGTGCTGTCAGATAAAGAGTTGTGTAATTATATTCTAGTCATTAGGGCATTTATTACCTCTCTCCTGTGGGGCAACTGTTTCTTTGGAAAACATGTATTTACACAAGCATTTTGATGAAAAAAATTGATTTGCTGCTTTTAAACTACTAAGTTTCCGCTTGCCTAGTGCCTTGTACAATAGACTCCAATTCTCTAACATAAATGAAAACATATCCATTTATAGAATAATCTAGGAGCAATGTAGGGAGGAATTGCATTAGGGATAAGTGTGTGAGCTTACAAGCACTCAAGGCAGCCTGGGAGCAGGATGACATTGGGGAGGGAATGAAGATTTCACTTATATCCAAATGATGATAGTATCTAACAAGCAGAGAGAAAAGAAGTTAATAGAAGTAATGTATGGAAGTTAGAACTTTGAAGGTATACAAAACTGATAAGGGATGCAAAATGGCAGAAGTATAAATCCATGGCCAGAAGTTTAGCCATTAAAAAGAGTATATGCAATTATCTTGATATTAAAGAAAAATCAAGAATAAACACTTGTCCATCACCTAACTACTAAGGTGGAATTGCAAATACTAATGCCCAATAAACTAAATCAATGCAAAATGCCAAGTGGCTCAATCATGTTCACATTTACTGTTTTGAAGGGACACAACCATACCCAGATAGTATGGTTATATTAAGGGATGATGAATGCATCAAGTATTAGTGTTAGCTCTTTCAAACTCACTCTGATAATAAAATGTGCTCCAGAATAGATCCAAAAAAGCTAAACAAAAGCTTATTCAAGCAATAACTCCTGAGCTGCCAAAACTGAGGAAGTTACAGAAAACGAAATATGTTTTAGGGATCATCTATTTCTTTAAAGTGTAGAAGATGAGCAGATGGTGATAGATTTATCAGACTGCACCAGGACAAAATGGTGGAAATACTGATACAAAATTACTAAAGAAAACCTTAAAGGTATTGTACTTAGCCTGAATCAACATCAGACTACACAAGCTTGATATTTTCTAAAAGAAGGGATTACAATCTAATAAAGGTAATAATGTCTAAACAGTAGATGTCTATATAGCATCTAAGGTGATCCTACAAAATACTTCCATTAATTAGTTGAAATTATTTATATCTTCCTTTAAGCAGCCAACAATTCACTGGCTTCAGGGAATAATGATAAAAGAGAAATAATCAACACATGGCAATAAATTAAGGGTTTGGCCATTTTGTTTTTTTAATAATGTGGAGAAAAGAAGCACAAAATAATTGAATTTGCATATGAATTTGGTTCAGGTAAGGGTATCCAAAACTGCATAATCCAATAAACTAAGTGTATATATATATCTGCATTGAAAAATGTCTGACTTTAACTACAAAGACTTATGCTTTCATCTAAGTGATGTAGAAAAGTAAGGTGAAAAATGAAACCCAAGAACATTGTCTGGAAAAGATAATTTTATTACTGAGTAAAGAGCTCAACAATGCCAAAAGAACCAGTGGAGTCTTCAGAGAGATAATGTGAGAGCTATGGCTTATATTGAAAGAACTTATGGGACATTTTTACTTGACTAGGATATACTGGATTGACTGCAGTGATTGTGTTATTCATCAAGCAAAAGGGTTTGGTTAGTAACTTGAGGGCAGTCAAAGGACTGGACAACATGCCTGAAAGAACTGAGCAGCTCCAATTATCTAGATTATGAGAAAGAAGTTTGAAAGGTGCATCTGTCAGAGTTGATAAGTAACAGCCCTAGAAAAAAGCATGTGATAACGGAGGGGTTCTACTTAGCAAATAAGAGATTACAGTATCAAACCGCTGGAAATAGAAGCTGGACTGCCATTGTAACATTTTCCCCATACATGCACCGCTGCATTGCTTAGCACAAGAAGAAACAGACACACCAGAACTGCCTCATGCTGTCGAAGCCTTTTACCTGAAAAGTGACACTGCCCACAGGGAGATAGTTCCGATCCTCAAGCATGCTCAGGTACTCTGCCACCAGTGCTGCAGCATGGACCAGACACATGGCTGCTTCTGTGTAGCACTTCCTCTTGGTGTGCTTCTCTGCCATGTTCTGCAGCCAAGTCAGCCTCAAGTCTGGCGACGTCTGGTATCCTTTTGCGATTCTGAAAACACAGACCAGAAAACAGGTGTGAATGACCACTTCTCAAATAACAAAAATACCTTTGTAATTCTTCCCCCGGGTTGAACAGAAGAAGACTTCTCTGCCCTCATTCTATATGATCCATTAAACAGAAAGCAAAATAAATGGTTAGGCAGTGCTAGACAGGAAACTAGAGGTGGTATGAGTCTTGGCTATGCGCCCAAGACTCTTCAATGTTCCTGACTCTTATCCTTGCCCAAATCTATGTCCACCTCCCAGAGGCTGCAGTGCAATGTGCTACTGCAGCCTGGGCCCCCTGTGACAGACCAGCTCTGCTAAAGAGGGAATGTGTACAAACAGAACAGAGAGAAAGTTTGACACAGCTTGTCCCTAAAAAGCATAGTTCAGCTCACCTCACTGCAGAATTTTCTCAGTAGCAATTCTAAATGGATTCACCTGTACATGAGGTCCATCAGCATCTCTGGATCTTCCTGAAATTCCCTCATTTTCACCGTATCTGACAGGATGCTGTTCAGATTACACAGTAGCTCCTCTACCTGAAGTAAGGCAAAGATCAGTGTGCAATTCTCAGGTGTTTATTTTTTCCTTCTGGAAAAATAACAGCATCTGCACCAGCTGATGTTAGTCTCTTTAAGCTTTTTTTTACCCAAGGAAATGTTAGGATGTTTTCTTCAGCTCTATGCAATGTGGCAAAGACTGCTGACATAGCAAATCTCTCACACGCACATTTTAATTAATCAAAAGGAGCTGAAATCCTTTGATTTATTTATTTCTGAATTTAAAAAATAATATGTGTTAATGGAGTTCAGCTTTAGTTGATCTTTGATCTGAAACCAGATGGTTTTGTAAATCTTCAGCACAACCTGAGTTACTCTAAGAATTTTAACAAAGTAATTGACAGGTGTCTGAAATGTTTTTCATTATTGCTGCTGACACCTTACAAGTTGGCAAAGAGAGAGAAGTGTCCTGGATGGTACTTGTCTGAAAACATAATGAATCAGATTCCATCTTGAGAAACTCTTAGAGGGCATAGCTCCTGCTGGGGTCTAGGAGGAAGCTGTTCTCAAAACCAAGAGATGATTCTTCCATAATGTGATTTCAGGGGAAATTCTTAAGAGTTTATTTTATGAAATAACATCCACTTCTTCCCCACTTACTGTTGTGCTAGGCATTAACTCATGCAATAACCCCTTCGTCCTTATTTGCATTGCTTTGGAAGACCAATATCTAAAACTTGCTTCAAGCACAGTCCTATGTGAAAGCTCCCAATAAAAGCCACAGATGCCATAAAAGATTTAACCTGAATGGGAAATGGTGTTGCCTGCATATCTGTATCTTCCTCTGCATAGGCCAGGATGGTTCGCAAGGATCGTCGAAGGAATTCCTCATTAAACTCAGGTGATTTTCCAACCAGAGAAGCTAGCGACATGGTCACCTGCATCTTCACTCTTGAGAAATTCTTCCAGAAGAAAAAAAAAACATGAAAGAATGATGGCTGCACTGCAGTTCACTTATCTATCTCCTCTATGAAGGAAACCCACTTTGTCCTGCCCAGATTGAGTGCAGTAGACTGGTCACATAACTGGCCTCTGGTGCATCAAATCTGATCATGTTTGACCCACTTAAGCCAAAGATCCCTAATTCTGACATGTCTGTACTTTGGGTATAGAATGTTCCTGGAAATACACATGCTTGCTTGAGAGAGGAGAAAGCCAGAAGCACCCCTTTCCCCCTTTGCAGAGGCCAGTGGGTGTAGATCGGACCCACACAAGAATAGATGAAGAAGAATGACTGGAAAAATATTCTAGAAACAATTCTGGGAAGCAAAAGGCTTCTGAGAGCTTCAATCGGTGATGCACTACACCCTGATGATCATGGTGTGTCTGCAGTACATTTGCCTTCTGCAGAGCTTACACTTTTTACATATCCAAGGCTTTTAAAGTAAAAACCAGTGAAGGCAATTCTGTGCAAGATCAGATGCTATCCAAAATGCTGATGGATATGCTTTTGTGCTAGAACATTAATAATCTACATGCATAATGTATGTATTTTGCTCCCTATGTGCAGTAAAAATCAGAGCCTAGTCCTAAGACCAAGGAGCTGGTGAAGAATTCCCATTAATACAAGTATACAGGAGTTCTACTGAGGTTGAAATTACATTAGATTAGAACTAGACTGAGTAGTTCTGACACAGGAAAGGAAGAAAAAGGACAATGTGAAGAGTATTGCTTATGCATTGTATAGTCTTTGCTGCCAGAGGCCTAATACTGCTCTGTTTGAAGCTGCACTTACAGATATTGCAGAACAAGTTTCCCAAATCAAAGCAGTGAATAATAATTAAATAATTAAAGCTACTTTCCCCCTACACTTCTAGCACTTCTCTTGGCTCAAATGCGTGAAACAGCAGACATTGTGACTGTAGATGCATTCCGCTTGCTGTTGTAACTTTGTTTCAATGGATCACAAAAAAGGTGGCACAAAATAAACTGGTGCTCTCAAAATCTTACACTGGTAGAGTTGAAGCTGTATCTCATGAGGAGATAAAGAGTGGCACAGGCTTGCGTCCGTGTAATATCTATGCTGCTGCTGCAGTGATGGAGAACTCTTTGACACAGATCAGCACACTGTTCAACCTCCTCTTCAAACAGCAAATCTCCAAACTAAAGGAAAGAGAAGAAAACATTTATTACTCTCATAAAACATCATTATCTTAGTGCACAAAAGTCACAGGGTTCAGAAAAAGTCTAAGTTTTCAAAAACTACATGCTACTTTTCATTCAGACTTCTGATTCCTGTAATGCCGTAGATCCCATATTTAAGATTTTTTACAGGAAAGAAGGGTTTGAAAATAGCCTTTGTGTTTTGAAAAAAGAGAAAGAGATAGAATAAACTCAGAGTATGATGGCTCCAGGAGTTTTTGAAAAAATCAAATATTGCAAAATTCTTAGCAGCATGGAGATTTGCTATTTTCAGAATACATAATGATTGATGAAGCATGCAAATACTTCCTTAAGTATACAGAGCAATTTTTAGGTCTTTGCACCAACGCCCTACCCTTCCCCAGGCCTCCAACATGTTCTTCCTCCTATGGTGTGTCATAAAACCTGCACTGCCAAGCTTTCATGCCAGACCCTCCTTGACAGTGCCTTCCCAATGCACATAGTAGGCAATAAACTCAGGGGGCAGGATGCCTGTCCAAAGAAACGCTCAGCAGAGACAGCACAGATTCACCAGTACCATTTGTACATACACAAGACTGATAAAGGTGTGTGAGTGAACACAAGATATTGTTTCCAATTTGCAGACTCATTTCCCAGTTCTCAGCCTTTCTTCAGTCCATTATCTCTCTGTTTTGAGTCTAATTTATATTACAAGCCTGCTGGCACAGGGTTTTATCACTTCTATTTGTAAAATAACATCTATATGCCTACAGTGTAATACAAATAATTGGAATGATTGCTTAATGAAATACAGAATCGAGTCAGCTTAACTACAAGATCTATTTCAATGAGAATAACAATTGCTTCACAAAATTCATTACTGTAATTGGAAGTTAGCTCTTAAAGATAAAGTAAAATGAAAACATAATTATTAGTTTCATAACTATTCAGACATCTACCCTGTAATTAGGCTTTGTCAGCCAATCTGCATTTAAGAGCAGACAGGCATTAATTGGACCGGAGTATCCTGTTTCTTATTTGTATTTTAGAATAGTTTAGGGGAAATAAGCATTTCATAGATTTTTCCTTATTGAAGCTGCTTTTCTTTGTAGGAGAATGAATTCTGAAAAGGTTTTTGAGTTCTGAAGAAGCACCCAACCCATTACAACATGTATTACAAAAAAACCCAAAAAACTTCGAGACAATTTCTGCCCTCATATATATTTCAAAGTTTGTGGGGTTTTTTGCTTTGTTAGGTTGTTTTTTTTTTTTCTTATTATTTTTTTTTTTTTTTTTCTTATTGTTGTTTTTTTCTGATCTGGAGTTTTTTTATTGGTGATACAGAAGTGGAAGAGAGATGATGATTTGGCTCAGTTTTCAGGAAGAATAAAGATGAAAGGTATCAATGTCTTAGAATCGACTTAGAATTTTGAAACCCATCTTAGAAATAAAAACCTAGAATGATGCTCTTAATGTCTCATGAGTTTTGATTTCTCTGCTGCCCATCTGATTGGAAACTAGTCTTGCTAATATAATAATTTAAATTTAACTTACGGAATTCTTGTGCAGTTCTTGGCATTAAAATTCCTAATTAAAATCAGAATGTATTTGAAATAAAGTGTGCGGAATTGCTTATCTTTTTATTAGTAAATCTTATTTGTATGTTTAACAGTAGACTGCTAAACCCACAAGAGTGTTTGGATTTAATTATTCCATCTTGTGTGGTCAATGAAATAACCTTACAAGAGATGTAGAAATCCTGTAACAACCCTACAGATAGTAATTTGTATTTACATATGCAAAATATATTTAATAAATGTCAAAGAAAAGTGGTAAGTGAATGCATACAGCTCTGTTCTAGAAATCCTGTTCTATTAATTTGATTGGAAGAATGAAAACAAAAGTATATCAAGAGCATACCTTGGCAATGAGTGCTCTGAGTGTGGCAAAGCAATGAGTCAGGTAAGTGGTGCTCTGATCATAGCCAAGAGAATTTACCAGGACCTTCAAAACTCCTCCCAAGAGATTATCTCTGCATTCTGCTGCAAAGCTAGCCTACATAGGAAGGAGAAAAACAATAACTGTATGAGGTAATTCAGCAATGAACTGGCAGACAGGAATTGAAGCTCTGCTCTGCAGCCCATGAGACATCCAGGAGTTTAGGAGTTTCATTTTTAACATCTGCTTCAGAGAAATTTCAAAGCACTTTTGTAGGAAACAAGAAGAGAGAGGGGGAAATGTTCCAAACGTTTTCCAAGTTCCGAAGACTCTCCAATTCATTTTTAAGCTCAGTCAGCTTCTGCAGGGATTTCTGAAGCTCTGTTTCTGTTCTTTCCAATCCTTCATGTATACTTTGGGTTGGGAATTGATCCTATGGTGGGCATGCACGATCCTTTCCCTTGCATCCTTGATATCCTGAGCACCTAGGCTAAATACAGACATACTACTGTGCTCTGATCAAACTCACAACCAAAACAGTGGAGAGACTAGGTGCTATGAGTGATGTCATGTGAAAATAATGCCCAATACAACAAAAGTCTAGCAGATAAATGCTTTTCTACTAACATGTTTTCAAGCATGAAGTTTTCTCTTCCCTACCTGTGAATTTTTTTCTATTCAAGACTATACAAATTTACAGAAGATCTCAAAACATTTTGCACTAAGAAAAAAAGGAAAAAATAATCTTGCTTCCAGTGGCTTCTGTGGGAACAGGGATTGGTAGTAAGCCACCTCTACAGTTTCTCACCTGAATGATGTTCTCTTGCATATCAAGAATGATTAGGTTAGCTTCAGTTGCCAGGTTTCCACTGATCAGAGCTTCTTGGTCTAGCTCAGCTTTTGTCCTGAAAAAAGGAGCTCTAATTAAAGTAAGCAAAGGGTATCCCAAGAGTCAGATTACCTGCTGTTTAAATAAAGCCAGAATACAAATGCACACCATCCTGAATGATCCCATAAGAGCGAACAATGACAATAGTGTTCAGAAGTGTTTCTTAAAAACTATGGAGTGAAATCAGGAAAGTTGCTATTGTAGAAGAGCAGTCACAAAAGGGACTTTTGAAAACTAGTCCTCTAGACAGTTTGAATAGATGCTTTACTTCCTTAATAGTCATCTGCATAATGGCTACTTAATTCAGTTCAGTTGTTCAGTAAACTATGCTGTAATTTCTGAATGCATTTCCTGTAGCAGGACACAAAACTCCAAAATGGAATAATGGATAACTGATCTGACAATTCCATTAAAAAAAAGTAAAAATAGTAGACTAGACCAAAGTGGAAATTGCCCCAGTGGCATAGAAGCATTGTTTAATGTAGGAAATTTTAAATGTTGATTCCTGAGACTGTTGACAACAAGACAGCAGGTCCATACAGCAGTGTCCCAGGCCATTTAAGAGAGAACAGAAATATCGATAAAAGACAGAAGATAGTGGTAAGGCAATACATGATACATTCTTAGCTGAGACTTAAGGACAAGGTCTGTAATGCAGTTCCCCTGCAGCTGAATAAGCATAGGAGCAGCTACTAACAAAACTGCATTTTCACACATGCCTTCTCTGCCAGAAATGCAAAGAGGTATTTTTCTTTTTCCTAAGTTGCTCAAAAAGGTGCTATTGCCTGGCTAGAGGCTGCTCTCAGAGTTTAAGATTAAAGATCCTGTGACTTTGGCTGAAGGTGAATTTCTGTGGCTGGAGCAATAGCCTTACAATCACGCTTCTGAGCAGCTTCAGAACATGTACCTGCTCTGCTACATTCATTTACCCAAATATAAAACCAGAGGAGCAAAGACCTATCCTTTAGTGTACAAACAGAAAATTCTGAAAAGGGCTAAGAAAGAAAATCAAAGAAATGATATGGTTATTAACTACAATGACTCAAAGCAACAAAAATCAGAATGGACTGATAAAACTTTTGTGCTATAAGAAATCCCAGTAAGGATAAGAACTGAACAAATTTAATGAACTTTACAGGTGTTTGGACAATTTCCAGCAACCACTGAGCTTTGTACATTAACTATGCTGACTGGATCTTCTCTGGCATATCTTATAACAGCTGCTACAATCTCAAAGCATTATCTTCCCTGACTCCTGCTAACAGCTTCTCGGTATTAACATTGCAGGTCAAACCTAGCTTAGCTGGATAAGACATATACCACAATACTGTATACACTGAAGAGCCAAAATAAATGTAGTAAGTTTCTGTGGTGTATTTGATACAACTCTATCACTAACTAATGTCTGCCATACTGTTAATAAGAAGGAAAAAATGTGTAGATAGCTATTTAAAATTCTTTTTCAAGTATTTGTGACCTCTTTGCTGGATATTTCAGCTACATAAATATTTTCTTTTTCTTTCTCTTTGACAAAAGGGGGAAAGGATTGGAACTACTGATTATGTAATAAAACATCCTAGGAACAAGAACAAAACATAAAAAACCCATGCAGCTTGGTTCTAATAAAAGCAGTATGGATCCATTAAATTACTTACTTATCTTGTCTCTCATTTGCCTGCCGCCACTGCGTCTGCTCCTTTCTCCAGCGCAAATTTTCATTTACCCCTGCTGATCTGTCATTCCCTACGAGTGCAATATATGTCAGAGAGATTAAAACAAAAGGGGACACCTGAAGTCTGATAGCTCACCAAAAGAAGGAGATGTATTTCTGTAGTAGTCTGTCAGAACTAAAACCATTCAACTTACAGGTTCAGGGCTCTAGTAAAAAGACTCATAATTTCTTTTACCTAGGATTTTTAGAGTATTAACTTGCTTAATGTGTACAGAAACCTACAAAAACCAACCCACCGCTTTTCCATTTATTAAATGAAGCATTCATTATTAAATGAATCTTTTCTGCTATGAACAATTTGTTTTTAGTCTTCATACCATTTGTGACAGCTTTGATACCATTTCTTGGCTCTTGATTAGATACTAACATAACTTTTTAGAACATCTTGAAACTTCTTTCTTGGCTTCATATTCTTCACATGAGAAAAGCTCACTGCCAGCTACACTTTGGATAGTTGGAACCTAATGATATTTTCATCCATGCAAAACCAATAATTCTCTGAAAAGGAATGGATGGTGGGTGAAAGGGAGTGAAATGGTCAAGGATGAAAATGGATAGTGTGCACAAACCCAACAAACTCATTTATGTCTACAGCCACTTGAGTTCCTGTCAAAAGGCATGGGGGGACAAGGGTATGAAGTACCAGCTGGTATTCTGCAGCGCTTCATCATTTCTCCTCTAGCTCCTTCTCCTCTCAGTAAAGCCTCTTCTAATCGAGCTTTCACATCTCGTGACTTCTGGAGTGCTTGGGTGCTAACTTTATCTGAGCTTTGCTTGCCCTGAAAGTAAAGTTAAAGCAATCAACACCAATGCCTCAACTTTTGATCACGAAACCAAGTTACATCTTCAGAATGAAATACAACAGGAGAGACCTGTAGAGGGGGCAAAAAGCAATGAATATGATAGATTAATACATAAAGTCTAACAAATGTTGCAAATGAGGAAAGAGGTACAATATATACTGCTCATAGAAACAAAGACGCAGTTCAGTACTACAGAGAAAGAAATTAAAGTTCAGAGAGGTTATTTGGTCCATTTCAGACAGACTCTCTCAGAGAGAAGAGTGCTGACATCAAGTCCTGGCTCTTAACTAAAGAGTCATCCTTAGTGTCCAGTACTTACAGGAGTTGCTGGTATAATTCCCACCAAAAATAGCCCTCAAATACCCAGGTAAAAAAAGTAATTAAAGTACTTAGGACACATTCATAGGACTTCCTCAAAAGTTTCAGCAGCATTTTGCTTGAAGGCTATTTTCAGTTATTTTATCTGAACTAATTTGTCTAGATTAGATAAGTGCTAATTTAACCATTGCCAATAACAAATTTCCCCTGGACAGCTGAAATTTAAGGAAAAAAACTGATCTAAACCAGGACAACATGCCTTGTTTCACTTACCTTATACTCAAAACATGAAACACAAATGAAGAGGAGGTCTAAAATCCTGTTCAACTGCATGGATGGAAGGTCTGCAATCCATTTCTGTATCAGGTTCTGATCAGCATTTTTCATGATCCAGAGGAAACAGATCAAAAGGTTGCGAGTAGTATCGGGACCTAATGTGGCACTCTGTCTGTAGGGCTAGAAACACAAAGTAAATGTCAATTGAAATAAGAAAAAGGAGAGGAAGGTCATTTGGGTGAAGTAATCTTATTTAAATTGCATTGGAATCAAATCTCAGAACGGGACGTCAGTAAATTTGACCTCTTCCAGGTGATAGTTATTGTCATTTTCACTATATGTGTAATTAGTGAAAGGACCAGTTGAATGCAAGCGAAAGACTGAGAGAAGCACCAGTTTGCTACATGTTTGCATAATAATTTCCTTATAAAAATGTAGAAAAAGATTCTGTAACCATTTTCTTCCCTCCTGCCATGCAGTTGTGTCAGCCAAATTGCACAGTAGATAAAAAAAAAACATATGAGGAAAGACCATACATAGAGAAAAGTAAGCATCTGAATACTAGATCCATGGATTCAGGTAAAACTGAAAGTGTGGGGCTGCCACAGTGGCAACTGTTGATCTGAAAATGAGTCTAGGTTTGGTGTGGAAATGGAAATAGGCATGTGGGAGAAAAAATTGAACAATGTAGGGTAAAATAGCAATTAAATAACTAGAGGAGAATAGGAGAAGATGACAGAAGGATTATGAAGGATCTGTAGGGGTTGAAGGAAACAAAAACACAGTTTCTCATGACTGTAGCTATCCGTGGCAAGAAAGGATAAAAGGAGAAAAAAAGAAGATGAACACACATAGAAGAAAGGAGATTGGCAGAGCAACGAACATACCAGTGACACCAGAGGTAGTCCAGAGTTCCTGATGTTGAACTGACTCCCTGCAATGGCAAGGGCCACGTTTTGATTGATTGCACCTGAAGATTCTTGTTCTTCTTCGGGGTTTCCTGTGCGCCCCTTTCCACTGCGGGTATCTGAAACTAAATTTGAAATACCCCATTGGAACTTCAGGAGCAATCCAGTTGCTTCTGCTCATGTCACAGTTTTCCATCGGTCTGCAACCTAGCAAAACAACTGGCACCTCCACCCCTGAGACTGTCTGGCTGATGTACCAAGCTGATGCACAAAGTGAAAAAGGCACAGCATTAGAAAGAGAAATTGCAGCCATCTGCAAAGACTGCCAAATTATTCAAATACATAAAATACATAAAATACATAAAAAGTGGTAGCAAACATGAGATTATCTCTGAATTTCAAGGCCAAGCCAGTGCTTTGTAAGACTTGAAACCATCCCGTTCTAGTTAATTTCAGCCAAAAGGATATGCACAGGAATTAGACATGGATTTGGTAATATTCAACAAAGATGTACAACTGCTAAGAGCTGACAGATCCAGTATTCCCTGCTGACTTAAAGACAAGTTTTATTTCAGGCACCTAACTGCTTCTATTACCTGCTACTTCAGCAAATGAAGTTATTTATACCTAAATTTTGTAAAAATCTTGTCTGATTCTGAGTATCCATTTTGTATTTTGCAAGCTCTGTTTTTCAGAGAAGTGAGTGATCAGCTGGACCCCATGTGTTCAGAATGGATCACAACATCTTGTAACAGATTCTCAAAGGAAGACATTCTAAAACTGAGGCATATTGGTACACCTGGGCTTCTTCATAATAACTCTTTTAATCTATGGTGTAAGGATAATACTTAGATTAAAAGGATGTTGTGAGATCTAATTAGCCAATGCATAGTAAATGCTTCACCCCACCCAATCCAAAGTGATAAATACCATTTTCATACTATTTTTTGTTAAGACATTTAAATGCGAAATATTTTCAGAACCAGTGAAAAAATGTACTCTTCAAAGTTTATACCTTTAATTAATTAATTCTGGTATCACAGTAATGGCAGTAAAAAAGCAATAGAAAAAGAGAATACAATCCAATTTCTATAATTGCGGTGTAACATGATGTCAGTATCACTATTTTCACTGCTGACAAATAGTTAAGTGTATCTAGAGCTAAATATTTCTTGCAGACTTTGCAGGCTTTATTTGGAAGTTCATAAAACTTAGACTAAGAGATACGCAGTACTTACAGATATATCTCTGGTCTATCACTTCCTCATTATGTGAGGAGAATGAAATTTTTCCTGTCTGTAAAAATCCCTTTTGCTTCTAAGTAAAGAAATATTCAACCTTACAAGACTAATCTGTTATGTTTGATAAATTATTTAGACAAGTCCCTCTTAGAAAATTCAAAAGCAAAAAGGTCTTACTTGTAAAATCATGGAGTTGTGGTAGTGAATCCAAAATGATACCAACCAAAGGGAGGTAAAGAGCTGCAATTTTAATCTTCACCTCCTTTTTGGAGCAACGTGGGTCTAGGTCATGGGAACTCAGCAGGCTAAGGATAGCATTGACAGCTTTTCTTTGCACCTTGCTAATCCTGTTAACAGAAAACATCCATGAGTTCCATTCATGGATCATGCACAAATCACTTATAAATCAAAGACTTAACAAACAGAAAGGAGGTGAAAGAAACAAATAATAAACACCAATATGCACTGGATGATCTCTTTCATTCTGAGCAGAGATTCATGTTTCCTGTAAACCACAGGTATCTTAAATCTCCAAGCCACTTTACCACAAAGAGCACCCAAGTCTTTCAAACTTCCCATAAAAATTCATTGTGGTAAAGAGAGATGCTTAAAGAAAAGCATCAAACTCTGGCCAAAGTTTAGCTAAACACTTAAGTTCAGACAAAAACAGAGGTGTTTTAGAGGGAAGAGAAACTGAAATTTTTTGTTCTCAATTTGTTTATTCAGCCAATACTACCACCACAAATATATATTTTTATTCATTGGAGGAACATAGTGCAGATAAAACCATGATTGGGCCACTGCTATGTTGCAGAGTGACTCACTGAAAAGAGTAGGGGAAGCTGGACTGTCCTGGAGTCAAACTATGACCTTGCCAAGAGTAACAGTGTGACCTGATCCCATTCTAAAATCAGCAAATTAGGATACGCACCCCTCACTGTCTGCATCCAGTGCTGCTGCCAATTCAGTGAAAAGTAAGCCAGTCAGGAAGTGTTGCTGACGGTATTCAGCTGAGAGGTCAAACATGCCAGTGATCTTCTGGTCCTGGAAACTAGAGCAGGAGCTGGAGTTCTGCAGAAATACATTAGAAGTGTTAAAGAATGATCACTGAAACCAATGTTTCTGAAAGAGATCACAGTCACAGTCAAGGTAGTAACAGGAAAACCACAGACTTTGAATGGAAGGTTGGACATTTTTGAGGAAGTCATCTGCTTGTGAAATAAAAATCTGTGTGTGATTTCAAATGAGTTGCTTGCTAGGATGCAAACTCATCCTTTCCATTCTGTGTGAGCAACTAATTTTACACTTTTTGAAATGTAAAATTCCTACCCTGTATTCATTAGCTTGGACAGGATGCAAAGTCATTGTTTTCTCCATTCTTGTTCTTATTGTTGCATAGCAACCACAAAGCAAGAAACTGCCTCTACATTAAGAGGGACTTTGGTGTCAGAAGCAGTTCACTGTGTATTCTTCAGCCTCCATGATGTCTAGTGTGGAAGTAAGGTCAGGAAAGACAGGTGTACAGTGTTTCCTTTTGCCCTGGAAATCCTTGGCTGAGCTTGCTGGCAGCTGGCATAATTTAGACCAGTCTTCAAACAGCTCTAACTTATAGCTGTGACTGATATACAGCCAGCCCAGGAATGGAAAGTTGCTGCTATATATGTGCTGTGAACTTTTTAGCTTCTCCAATCATAGGTGTGTGCCACACGTCACCTGAAATGTTTTTGTCCCCTTCTCAGATGAGCATAAGTCTTAGACTCTACTCCCCACTGCAGCCACTGGATTTTATGAGTCCAAATTTTGTTTTTAACTTCTATTCTTCAGTATTCCTTCCAATATTTCTGCAAGTCACCTGGGAATAGTCCCAGAGCCCAAACACATGAAGTATCAGTACTGTAGCAGCTGTGTTCCTATCTGGTCAAATGAAGCCCATGTCTCTTAGCAGCCCCATGTAATTGGATCCATGTAATTCCCATTCAACCTCAAGCAAATAGGCATTGGCTGTACTATGTTTGTGTGAAATAATGTCAAGTGTAGAGCACCCAGTTAAGTGAATTTGGCTTCTCTCAAAAATTTTCAAAAGATTTATTCACAAGACCATATTTCTACTGCAAGTCTAACTCAAGCTGGGCAGCACTCTTGCAGACAGATCAAAATTATTGCAAGGGCGGTCAGTTAGTGCATTAAGTCATGCAAGGGCCACAAAATACTTATTGATTTTCACAGGTTGCACACTGTAGGTTACTCCTAAAGGAGAAAAGAGTTGATGATGATGATGATGCTTGAAGGAAAGATCAATTAAACTGGTGTTGGCCAAGCTCTGATTCGATAAAACTAGTCACAAGAGCTATGCTGTTATTTTTTATGCCCATAAGCAGAAGAGTCATATTTCTAGCTCTTTGGCATCCAGGATTAGTATTAACCAAATGTATTGTGATATCTGACTCTAAGACTTCGATGCTTTGCTTTTAGGACCAGGTAAAACTTAAAGAAAATATTATTTACTATTACAAACCTGTGACAACCCCTACTAAAGTATTAGATATAGCACATCTTAGCATCCAACTGATTATTTGGCAATGACACTCAAAAAAGAAACCATGAATTTGAACTTTTCCATTACTCAGACTCAGACTGTTTTTGTACCTCCCATCATTTTTAGTTTCAATTCCATCCCCTTGCCTCCAAGCACTGTGGCAGTTATGGAGCATTGCACAGAAATGCTTCAGCCCAGTCTTGACCTCTGCAAGACCACTGAGGGGGAAAACAAACATGTGAGGAGCCTTTGACAGTGGCTTTGCCCCATTGTAGAAAACCATCTCCATAGAACGTAGAGGAGAAGAGCACAAGACTGGCAAAACCGTGTTGCGTGCCAGTCAACAATTCCTTTTTTGATGTGTTTGTGAACTCTGTGGTCAGGAAGATCATGGAAGGTCCTGACATTAAGGAAGTCTAGAGCTGTGTCAGTATCAGACCAAAAATGTAGAAAAATTCCTGGAGAAATGAGATATGATGAAGATTGCATGGTCTACTCAGGGTACCTGAGTGTTTCCACACAGGAAATCATAAAGTTCAAAAAAAAAGGAGAACACTGTTCAAAAAAAACCACAGAGAAATCATGGACAAAGATATAGCAGAATCTGTACTACTGTGGTGGGGAGAAACCCAGAAGAACACTTCTATTGGAAAAAGAAAAATAATCCTATTTTAAGCAGCATGAAGGCTCAACAAAAATTCACTATTCCAGGATATTGAAAATTGCAATGTGTCAGTCACTAATTTAGATAGTGGTACCCTCTACTTCCACCTGGAAAGCAAAAAGTTTCATTAGAAGGCAAACACACAGAAAGCATGCACTGCTGCATGCCATAATTCTCCAAAACAGGTATTGAACTAACTATTAGCAGTTGTGTGGAGATGGGATAAGGCTGTGCCTCTAAACTGGCCTTCAGAGCTGTGTTCCTTTTAGACCTTGTGTGTCTACCTCAACAGCCATTTCCTGTGTGCATGTTTCCAGAGGAGCACGTGTCTATGTCATGTTCAGCTTTAACTCCTGTAGATGACGCTTTTCAGTAGTACTCCTGTAGCCTTTTTTCTTCTGTCCTTTTTTCTCAAGTGGGAAATTTTTCTCCCTGATGCAACAGTGGCTGGTTCTAACTTAAGTATTTGAATACAGAGCAATAGAAATAATTTTCTACATGTGCTTCATGTGACGTTCTTGCAATACCTATCTAATGGACAACCACCTGGGAGGACAAGGAGGGAGAGGGAGATGCTGGAGCAGATGCAGATGTCACGAAGAAGAGGTTCAGATTGAGGTAATGCTCATGGCTGCAGAGAATTCTCAGGAACTCAAGTCTCATGGAAATCAGGGTGGAGAGTGAATTCAGCTTGTTTGAAAGCTAGGAAAAACAAACAAAAAAGTGTAAAGTGATGGCCTAGTATTATTTAAATTATCATGTAGTGAAATATCCTTCTCCCTGAAAAGGACATAGACACACAGCCCTGTATGCATTAAAATGCTCACTGTACCTAACTAATTTCCATACATCAGCTGCTCGTTGTTTGACAGTGATGATGTCTCTCTTCCTGCTCCCCAGCTGATTGTTTCTTTCTTCTTTTCTCCCAAAACAAAAATATACAATATTTTCGTCTTTCGCAGACAAAAATTAAAAGCAAACTGAATTACTCTGAGTCTGTAGCAAAGTCATAAAACATCTTGCTAAGCAACACAGCACACCAGTGGTCTCGTCATTTCCCTTCTTATAAACAGTGGCATCAGAGAAAGAATTTGTGAAGATACCTGACAGACCTGCACACATACAGGTCACAAAACAGAAAGAAAATACTCCCTATTTTTAATTTTCAGATACTTGTAAAGCAAGTAGACAGATGTAATATTTTGAGTGACTCCCCAAAATCTGAATATTGTCCTCACAGCACTCAGCAGGAGGAGTCAGAAAGTTGATCTGTAGTATCTGCAGACCCTACTGCTAAAGGAAGTCAAAAAGTAAAGGAAAAAAAGTGGTCCATGGATGTTTTGCAGAAGTGCAAGCTATGACATTTCTAAAGGAGTCTTTACTTCCACTCAATTTTTTTCGCTGCAGATCACAAATCAAAAGAGGCTTTAAATTCATTGCATATGCAATAGGAAATAGGAAATTTACCCAGTCCTTTAACACAACTCAAAGGATCTTGATGGATAAACTAATCAAACAGAACAAAACACATAAGCCAAATGCAATCTCAATCATCCATGGTGCCTACCTGATTACAGTAATGTTTGATGAGATTAAACACAAATCCTCGATCCATTAAAGAAAGAAGATCATACAAGAAAAACGCCAGGCTGATATTAATTTTTTCTGCTTGTTCACTTTCCTTAGGGAAAAAAAAATCAGTTAAGATGTATAAAACTTACATAAAAGTGGAAGACTTTTTAGAATCATGAAAAATAGTGCAGGGATCAGCTCCCAGAGCCATCTCAGGGAAAATACAGAACAAGATTGTTTCAGTTTTCCAGTTCGCATGATCTTGTTAAAATTGCATAGAATCACATCTTTAAATTATTTCAACTGTTTCACAGAGAAATGTCACAGGATGCATGAACAGTTCATTTGTGCAGCTCCTCGTGCTGACAATAATAAAATGGAATTTGAGACCTATTCTGAATTGCTTATTGGCTGAAGTACTACATATGACATTTTTTCATATTGAACATCAGAGAAGGCTGGTTTAGGAACTTAAAACACATAAGATATTATGAAAAATCTGCACTGGCTTTGCCGATGGAATGCCAAGTATTTTGTTTAGAAATTTTAAGTAAAACTGTAAAACTTAGTAACAAAATACTGGTAAGATAAATCTGTGAGGTTCACCATCCAGCAGCTAAGCTCTTGTATGCTTGGAATTGGCCTGATTACCACAGATACACAGCCTCAAGTAAGAATCACAAAAAACTTCATGTATCCTCTAAAATGAGGCTACAGTTACTTCAAACATACCAGTTAAAATCATAAACTCTCAGTAGCCTATGTAGTTCATCAAGAGGAATTAGTGAAGATGCCTGAGGGATCTGCACACATTTAATGCTCAAAACTGACAGGAGATGACCGAGAAAAAATATTGTCTGTACTGGCACCTCTGACTAGTGAGAACAGGTGTGCAGCACCTCAGGGTAGCTACAATTCACTTTTTCATTTTTCAAGCTTTTTGTTGCTGTTCAGGAATATAACTATTTCTTTAGGCATCACAAGTAGAAAGAATTTAATGGGATTAAGGCTTATTTCTTGTCTTCAATTCTCAAGTGGCCAGTGCCTCTTTAAGGAGATCACAGGTTAGATGACTTGTGGCTGGCTTTTGCAACACTCACGAGGAGCACTGCTTTCCCATGGCATATCCCACTGCTACAGAGAAGTCAAATGAGGAATTAAACACAATGCAGTAGGATAGAGGGTAACTGCAAAGGGGGATAAAAGGAAGAAGTCCTGCTGGGGCTACAGTCTGATGTGCTCTCTAACATGGCATGAAGCATTACTAGAACTGAAAACGTGTGTCCAGTCTTTCCTGTCAATAGGAAAGGGAATCCTCTAGCCCACTGCAGCCACACTGAACAAAACCAGTCTGCCAAGAGAGCACAAGGCTGCCGTTTACACCACCACAACTCTCACTTAAAGTCCATGTGAGAGTACTGGCCTAATTCTATCAACACTGTTAATACTGAAATGAGATTAAGTGTAGCTCAGTGTAATGTAACATGAGAAGCAAGGATCCATAGTGCTTATTTCATCTACTAACCTTGGGTGGTTTGACTACAAGTGCAGCAATCTCTGAAGTAACCACACTAACTATAGTAGTAATATCATCTTTGAAACGATCAGAGAACCGGCTTCTTCGTTGGTTATCTTGCTTCTCTGTGTTGTGAACATACTGAGCCATGCTCTTTATCTGCAAGGCAGAAGAAAGAATACTAAAAAAATGCCCAGACTGGAGGTAAAATAGTGCTTTACGTTTGTTTGTAAGAGTAAGATTTCCTACTTCTTTTTCCCTGAATTTAATCACTTATTTTCACAGAGCTGCCATGATAAATCCTACATAGCAATGACAATAGAGGGTCTGCGACTCAAATACAGACAGACATTGATTCCTGTTCATATTCATGTAGTTGGCTACTCTCAGTACCTGAAATCAGAATTACCCTCCTCCAACCCCTTGCATCTGCAGTTTTAAAATGCTGCTGCTTGCAGCTTTTGCCCTTCATGATGACAGACAGGGAGTGACACTGTGGAATTCTTATTTTTTGACCTAATGTTGCATTATTTGCATGACGACTGTGGAAATTAGTATATTTTTTCCACCGACATGCATCACCACAGGGCTCTGTAGATCTGTGAGTTTGTGGAGCTTTGTCACTGCTCCATGTTTTTAATAAAACGGAAAAGACAGGAACAGATATTCACCAATAAGGAAGGGTGATGTTTGAGTGTCTCTCAGTCTTTTGCAAGCTGTGGACTACTGCTCATGTAGTTTATGCAGAACTTTGCCATCACTGCCATAATGAGGAAAGAGGGTGAATATGAAGAATTCTTTAGTTGTACTTTCATTATCTGAGACCTCTCTTTTATACAAGGCTGAATAACTGAAGAGGCCACTGCCCATCTGAATCTGTGTCCAGAGCACCTACCACATGTCACCATTATCTGATTGAAAAATACCACTGTTGAGTCTTACCAGGAGCTCAAAGAAGAACCAGGCATACTTGAAGACTGATTCTCTCACCATGCCCGTGCTGACCACCATCTGCAATGCCAGTTCCTCATGGAAATGCTAGATAATAAACATAGACTGTTGGAAAATGGTTTTCCGATCAACTCATCTTTCATTTTCAACATCTTCCCTGTGGGAAACTTCTCCATAATGGAGGGTGAGCAACTGGATGGGGATGTGTGGGCTTCTTTTTAAGATCAGAAGGCAGATTCGACCAAACTGACATCTAAAGACTGCTTTTGGTAACAAACTTTGAGGCTCATTTTTCTGTGGATCCAGAACCATAGATAACTGAAGAGGGAAATGCCTTTGGACTATTCTCAGGTCACTGTCATGCACAATAGGGAGCAGTCATGTTTCCCACTACCTGCTAAGTGTTTTTGTTTAGCACATCCATGTTTTTCTGAGGAAAGGTAGAAGTAAGATTGACTGTGCAGTGAAAGAGAAGGACAGAGAAATAGTGACAGCAGACCTTGTACAGACATTTGTAGTTGGAGACAATACCTTTTACAGTGAGATCTGAACACAAGACACACAATCCCAATTATCTAAACTTTCAGGAAATTCAAATCTGGACTACAAAAAGCTTGGTTCTAAAGCTACAAAAACGGACAAAGAAAATAATTCTTTACAGAAGAAAGAGGAGGCAAACGTTTCTGAATGGAGTTTACTGTAACATGTAAAGACATGTATCTAAAGGTAAATAGCAGTGGAAAACGACTGAGGCTCTAAGACCTCGAGAAAGATAGCAAAGGGAGGATTCAGACAGGCTGCTACTTGTCTAAATCTGGATAAAGAATCTAAAGACTCTTGAGCAGAAGCAAAAAAGTTTGAGTAATGTTTACCCACTGATTCAATATCTCATCTCTAATTCCTTTGATAAAACTGGTTGATATTTGGTTCCGTTGCTTCCCTCTCCACATTTATTAGTGCTAATTGCCAGCACTATCTCAGGACGCTCCAGGTTCTGTAAGGAGCTCCCTCATGCATAGCCATAGCCTACCTTTTTATTGGATGGTCTTGTGCTTGCACAAAGGCCTGACATGTCATTTGTTCCTTCAGCGTAGTAAGACATCCGACTGGAGCTATGATCCATAGGCTGAGGGACACAGATGGAAGAAATACATAATAGTAAATTCATCCATAACTTAATCTAATTAACAGAGAAGAAATCACCTGCAGGGGAGGGGGTTGTTTGGGTTTTTTTTAAGGTATGCACAGACATTCATCTAAACAGTTCTTCTCTTTCCTTCTTCCCATCCCCTTTCCCACTCAGGAACAAAGACCACCTGAGAGCAGCAGCAGCAGGAGGAGGGTGCAAATGCCAGCACTGCCATCGCGTGCCCAACGGCAGCACTGCAGCTGTACTTTGGAGAATACCATTCACCCTTTAAAAGGTGTAAGTTTATCTCCAGCTCTACATCGAAAATAATTAGCCGCTTGAAGTCTTCCTTCCATTAAAAGTTATGTCAATTTAAGAGGCAGTGAAACGGCAGTAACCAGTTGTAAATTGCTACTTTTATCAATATCAAACACTGTAATTTTGTATTAATTCAGAAAAATGCCTTGAGCTCTGGTTTGGTTTTCTTTTTCTCCTCGGACACAGTACATCAGAGTAAAAGTCATAAAATTCAAATCTACATTATTAAAAATTGCTGTGGATGGATATATATGCCCATATGAATAAATCAAATAAATTGTCAGAGCCTGTTTATCTAACTAGTTCTGATTTAATTAGCTGAAGACCAGTACCTATTCATTTTAGATGGGGAGGCACATGCTCATTCAATAGAGAAAGAACCTCAAAATATTACTGAAAATAATCTACTTGAGAAGCAATATTTTACATATATAACACTTAAAGAAAAGCATGGGGGGATACAGTTCAGACCTCATCAGATGTACTGCTGCAGAGCTCTGGCAGGGCTGCAACTAGCAGCACAGCAGAAAAAATCCTGCTTTTGCCAGAGGATAAAGCTCCAGCTTTTCATTCCAGTTGAGCAGCAAACTCGAGATTTTTGTTTCCCCATACAGCTGTGCACAACTGTCCTTATAAAGCTCTGAGACGGGCTGGGACACTGTAGATCAGGGAAGTGCCAATCAGGGAAGTAAAGTCTTTCCTCTTGGATGTTGTTGACATTTCTGTCCTGCAAGCCATTGGTGGTATACATAGCAGTGGATGAGAATGCAGAGGAAGCTTGTATTTCACTCCATGATTGAATGAAGTATTTGGAAAGACCCAGGTGCAAATTATACACATGCCATCTGCACTGTAGCTGATATAAAGCAATGGGGCAGTTTCTTTTATGGGGCTGTAATATAACTGACTTTTTTTTTGTTTTTTAAATAGGAAACTATTTAACAACAAACAAAAAAAGGAAGAAAGGTCTGTGACTGCACTGACTCTATGACTTGGACCAGACCAGGTCACCAGATGTGAACAGAAATATCTGGAATAACAGGAGAGTGATGCACATCAGAAAAAAGCAAATGCCCCTGTGAAGTGTCTAAGTCACAGAAAAGAGATAGAGTTCTCACTTCTTGCTCTCCATTGATAAGAGACATCAGAATTTAGCAGTAAAATTTAGCATGTATCTATGCCAAATCAGAAAATGCTTCTGGTGATACATACAGTGCATTTACAAGGAGCATATCCAACCCTCAAAGACAGATTTTGAGCCATACTGTTCTTCTCTTACCTTGGATGCCATGATGCTTTTGACCTCCTCATCAGTAGCAGCTTGCGTAACAGTGATGTCAGGATTGCTGCAGCTTATCACTCGGCTCTGCAGGAGTTTACTTCCAACAGACACTGCGGAAGTGCGTCCAAAGGTGTAGTAACGAGATTCTGTTGAAATGGCACTGCTGCCTCCACCTGCCACAGCAAGATGTTTGAATTAAGACTAAAGGATATATATATGAGAAAAACACTAGGTTCAAGCCAGTTTTGCTCAGTGGTGTTATAACATCAGCATTTTGAAAAGAATAAAACTCCTGAAAAGCCCACTACCAACTGCTTCACTAGCAGTCTACAAAGGCACTGAATGACAAGTTACAGGTATCACCCCAGTCAACAGCTCACTGGGTGATTGCACAACCAGTACCAAAAGATCAATAGGGCTAACTAAGTAGCAGCACTATTAAAATAGTTCTTTCTTGCCTTCATCTCTTTTTAATTTGCTGTAGATTAAGACAATAGTCACAGGCCTGAACACAAAATACATATGATGTAATACTATGTTTGAAGTATCCAAGGAGGCAGGGAGCACTGCCATCAGGAATTTCATTAAATTATGTCATGTAATGATTCAGTTTTACCACAGACCATATTTTTCCAAAGAATTCCTAAGTGTATGTGAGTTCACAGATTTTAGCATATTCCAACATCAGTCAAAATGTCCCTCAAGGGGCATCTAAATTAATACTCAAAAGAGAAAGAGGCTGACATATCTTTAGCTCCCACAGCACAGCTGCTTGTGGTAAGTTATTTAACACATACCAATTAATCAAATTAATCCTATAGGGTATAGGATAATGATTGCAGCAGAATAACAGAATGGTTGAGGTTGGAATGGCTTACTGAAGGCCATCTAGTCCAACCCCTCTGCTCAAGCAGGGTCACCTTGAGTCAGCTGCCTGGAACTACAACCAGGTGGGGTTCTACTATCTCCAAGGTGAGAGGCTTGGACAGCCTTTCTGGTCAACCTGTACCAGTGCTCAGTCACCCACAAAGGAAGTGTTTCCTCATGTTCTCTGTGTTTCAGTGTGTGCCCATTGCCTCTGATCTTGTCACTGGGTGTGCCACTGGAAATAGCCAGGCTCTGTCTTTGCACTCTCCCTTCAGCTCTTTGTGTAGTGAAGATCCTCCCTGAGGCTTCTTTTCTCCAGGCTGAAGACCCCAGCTTTCGGTTGAAGAGACATTTCACACTCTTTGTCTTTTTGTGGCTCTTGGCACGTTTCTGTCTAACATGTTCGTGTCTCTCTTGTACTGGGGAATTCAGAGCTAGACACTACACTCCAGGCATGGCCTCACCATGATTGAGAAAAGGAGAAGGATCAGCTGTCTAAACCTGCTGGTCGTATAGCATTTTATCCTCCAATGACATCCTTAATGCAAAGGAGATATTGGGTAAGCTTGGCACTATACCATTTAGCAGTAGGTTACTTCACATGGAAAGCAATTTACTGATGCACAGGTCAGTAAAAAATTGGCATCTTAAGGCCATTTTAGCTCATGAAAGAAATTCTTCTAGAAAAAGTTTCAGTTTAGGCAATCTCTATTGCATTCATCTTCAAAAAGCTCCAACATTGATTGTAGCCGTGGAAACCTCCCACCCCAACCCTTCTTCTTAAATAAATAAGTGAGGGATGGAGATTATGAGGGGCAAGTTCATATTGGTCTTTGCAGCACTGATATCCCTGATCAGCCTCTGAGCAAAAGGGTATGTCAGAACAGTGTAGTGCTTAAATGGTGGGCAGTCTGGGTGTGAGAAGTTGTATTTGCTATCTTACAGGTCTATGCCTTTAGTCCTTCTCTCAAAAGCACCACGCTGAACAGCATGTATCAAGAAAAAATACTTTTGCAACCCTTGTACCAACAATACCTGGTTTGACCACTTCTCTTTGTGGGTCTGGCAGACGAAATACATAGTACACATAAGATGCCAAGAGGCAGTTCCTTCCATGCTGATCCTTGCTCAACTCTTTACTGTTGTGGAGACTATTCACTATTGCAACCACAGACTCAAAGGCAAACTGTGAGAAGTTGGCTGTGAAACAAAGGCAATAATAGAGTCAGTACTGAAGGCTATAAAATAATTAACTAAGGGCAATCTTTATACCAACAACTAATCTTACAAGGTGCAATTCAGACCTGAACAAATTCAGAGTTTAAGACAGTAATTGCTATGCCTGACCAAAGAGTCTACATAGGCCAAGCAACACTCTTCAGCAGACCCCCTGACTTTCAATCTAATCACTTCTATTCTGTCACTTTGTGCTACATAAAAGCAGAATGTAACTCTTAATTACACTTCCAGTCGTCTTCACACATTTCCTATAAAACATCTTCTTGAAGAATACTAAGTCTCATTACTGTCCAGCAAAAGACAGATACAAGCTAACAGGCTTTAGCACAAATATTGTAGTGGATGACAAGTGCTATTTATCTGAATGAGAAAGGAAATGAACTACACCACTGTCTGCAAGTATGCCATTCTTCTGGACTTAACATATGTTACAGGCAACTGGTACCTCAGTAAAACAGAAATCATTCTTCAGTATTATAGTCTCTGGTTGTGTGCTCATTCTAGAGCACACAACTCTGTCTAGAGATATTTGGGCAGAGGATATGGTGCAGACAGCAGTGTCAGTTGTAGGATAGTGATTTTTCTGGTGTTTTACTTGCAAAACAACTCAATTCCAAACAAAGTTGAACCACAACCCATTTTCTGACCTATATTTTCAGATAAATAAATTACTACAATTTAATGTACCTCCCAACTAGAGACTAAGAGTCTTGTATGTAGGGGGAAGGACAAAAAGCAGTAAGTCAGTTAAAAACTGATTAAATTGTGCAGTGAAACTGTCTTGAGCAGCACAACACTTTCTGAAGTGTGCTACCCTAAATACTAAATCCAAGCCCGAATATTTTAGCAACCATTTCCCCCACATTTTTAGATTGCTTGCAAAGCCTCTTGAAGGCCATGAACCAGTAAGTACCTGTCTGGCCAGCTATGACCATAGGCTGTACAGCCAGCTGGAAAAGTTTATCTAGTACCAAATGCAAAAATAAGACAAGAGGTTCAAGGCGTGAAGAGTTCAAACAGATAATGCTGAGTTTCAGTTCATGCTCCAGTGAAGCCTCTGTAATCTTCTGATCCATCACTCGAATGGGGAATGTCACTTGGCTTTCCAGAGAATGGCACAAGGTGAAGAACTTCTCCAGGTGGTTGTCCTGCAAATACAGTGCAATCACAGTTAACAAAGTTGATATATTTCAGGCTACTGCTAGCTAAGAAAAGCTTGATTGTGCCACCTCATGGGATGAAACAAAAGATTTTCACCCTTCTGGCTTTCAGTAGTGGCTTCTCTGAGTGAACTTGTAAAGCAGTTGTCACAGTGTTTTGTTTGCTCCTATTCATCTGGTTCAAATTCAGACTGTTATTGCCCTCCCTAAACTGATTGCTTCTGGTTTTCATGTAATGAGAAGACTTTTCCTTCTATCTGATAAAACTCTTGTCACACCATAGGTCTATAGTCCCTCTGCCACTCACACCTGAATTCCAGCTACATGACCTACAAGTCATGTTATTATTTAAATAGCCATATTACTTAAAAAACATGCTGCAAAGGGGTGATGGACCTGCTTCAAACACAGGGCTTTCACCAGTTAGGATATATTTACTAGGGATATGGATAGAATGGGGTAAGGGGTAAGAGCCACTGAAAAGCAGCAGAAACAAAACAAAGCCGATCTGCCTCAAACCAGCATCTCACTAAAATGGGCAAAAATCCAATTTCCTACGGCATTTAAATGACCAGAATCATTGAGGTCTCACTCATGTGTTTGTGTCCCCAAACACACGGCATTGACAAGTGAGCTGCTTAAAACATACTGGTGGTGCATAACCTGTCCATAGAGGCGGGGAGGTGCTATGTCTTTGGAGATGTGGACACGTTGTCTGAACTAGCCTTGAAGAAGAGAAGACACAGACTGCAGAAAGACACAGACTGCAGAACTTTCAATCACAGCCTGAGCAGACCCCTGCTGAGCTGGGAGGACACCAGGCTCCCTATTGCTCGAGGTGACTTGCTGCCAAGAGTGCTCATTTGTTCACCTCTACCAGTAGATTTAATTTCACCAAAGGATTTCATTCACGGAGCATACCAGCTTATTTCCATAGCTCCTGATTTATTTTTTTTAACTGTGTGGGCTTAAACACCTGTTTCATAAACCTGCTAAATTGGTCTGAACATTTGAATTTTCTTTGAAATGAAACTACAGCTGTGTGTTATTTCTGATGCCTTACCTGGGTGTGAACAGATGACACAGCTTGAACTTCAACAATGAAAACACCCTTGTGTCCTTCAACCCACTTTATAGGTGGCATCTGAGAAGGAATTTTCTGTGATGGAAAAAAAAGTAGGGAATCATCTTCCTTTTAATGCTCAAACAGAAAGTCTGTTTATGTGGAGTTCTATAGGGTATTCCCACTATTCACTTCATTTTAGACGTCCAAATTCAGTGCCACACAGAGTATGACAGCTAAGCATCTCCTCGTTGTCATGGACATTTGGACAGAAGTTGATGCACTGAACAGGGAAATTTAGAAAATTTCAGCTGGATGTCTAGTACAGACCATGTAAATACACATCTCCTGATGGGATATTGTTAAAGCTAAAATTTCCTGGTCAAAGCATTGTCACAAGCATTCCATGGTGATGTGATGCAGTTTAAACCCTCTGGACTAGTTTCCTACCTGCCATGTTTACTGAGAGGGCATGGTTTTCTGCCCCAGTAATTCTACCTGATTCCATTTCTACTCCCCCTCCCACAAAGCCAAAGGGGAAAAAAACCCAACAAATTATCCTATGGAAGAAATGGAATTATTCTCTTGACACTGTCTAAACAAATGTATCCCTGATTAGACAATTTACAAGAACTTCCTTGCATAGCTAACCTCTAAAAGAACTCTATAATGATATAAAATAATAACACCAGTGACAATAATAACAACAACAACATTTTTCTTCAGACTTTCCCCTTTTAAAGAACAAAAAGGAGGCACAGCCTACCAGTAGACAGCAATGTTAGTTTGTAAAACACTTATGATGTTCTCCTACATTAGGAGAATACTATCTTTCAATAATTTTTTTTGTTACCTCAGGAGAGTGAATTGAATAGTGTAAAGGCAGTTTATCCAATGCAACAGGAAGACTATAATGTCCAGTTTGAAGACGATCATTTAATAGAATTGGCAGCCACTGAAACAAATGAAGAGAAAACACAGCAATATTCCTGATGCTATATGATTAGGCCTATTTATTTAATTTGTTAGATACAGTCAACAAAACAACAAATGAGATATTGACCCAAGCCTCTCTGCTCCAACCCATTCAACAGTAATTTCTTTGTATTTTAAATTCAAAGATAGCTGATAGCTACTGTAGAAAAATGTACAAGGCTGTTTTATTTTTTTTTACAAACCACCTCTTTCGAAGAAAATAAACACAGAGCTTCTCATGTGTGACACACATTTTTCTAATTAATCCTATCAGAAGGATTTAGTGGAATCCACATTTTTATTTAAAAAATCATGTATCTTGAATACACCGATTCTTAATATTGAAGCAAATCAACAGCTGAAGTTTTGCTGGGATTAAATTGAACATCTTCCTTGCGGTCATCATTCCAGACCGACTTGTGATATCCCTGTGCTGATATTTGGACACGTTTTTATTCAAGCCTGGAAGAGGCTGCGTATTTGAACATCAGAGGGCAGAAACATTTTGTACTTAGGTGAACAGAAACTTGAAAGTTAAGTCCTCATCTATGTCAAGCCTTGGTCCTGAGCTAATTTATTTCTTAACAAGCCTACTGATATTGATGGGACTATAACTGTCCATAAGAGAAACCCCATTTGAAAGGATTCTCAGTACTGTGATTAAAAAACTCCAAAAGCCAAAAAGGAAGCAAATAAGCAAACAACTAAAAAAAACACAAACACAATAGCCTCCCAAACTTCATAACTTCATAGCAAGAACACATGAAAAGCACTTGTATGACTCCATAGCTCAGTTGCTGATCACAGCTCTAGGACATTTTCAAATCTGTAGCATCATCATCTTCAATACTTTCCTTTTATATTAAAATCTTTTCATTTTTTTCTTTGATAAAGAAAAAAGTCAGAGAAATTATGCTACAACATGTATTTTGTAACCTAAGACATGATAGTCTCAACACGAAGATAAAAAAGGCAGCTTTTAGAGTCCATTTTTATAATTTTTATAAAAAGACAATTTAGAACAGAAATGAAGCACCATTACATTATCTGTTAGCTCATGTATGAACATGGTAACAGTAATAATTGGTTACATATGTTTTAGGGGGTTTTTTCAATAAATGGAATCTAACATAATGAGATTATGTGCTACAAAGCACTGTTGTTGCAAATATGTAGGTGCATATTTCAGTTGAATCAGATGAATTCATTAAGTTCAAAGGCAGTTAACAGTACAGTTATAGGATGAGGATGTAACACATCTCAGGCGACATCTAGTTTCTATGAACTCACACTAAGACCTTCCACTTGTTTTGATGTATTGCCATAACCAGAAAGGGAACAAATGACAAAATTCTTGACAAGCAGAGAGTCTGTTTGCATGGGATACACACAGACACACACACACATGCACCCCCACACACCCACTCTTATGTATCACATGGAACTTACTGAATACCCTAGGAGGGTTTCAACAGATGCTCCTTGCTTTGGTTGGCAGCTGATGTGATAGAATGTGAACAGTAGATGGTGTTTCTCTGTGAGTTTTGCTGGCAGCTTAATTTTCACTTCTTCATAGAAGTCGGGGGATCTGTTTAAAAAACATATCAAGCACGTTCCCAATGTAAGTATAAGACCGAGCAAGAGGCAAATTTGCCAGTCAGTTTTTAGATGCTATGGCTATAAAACCAGATAAACCCCGAAAACAGAACTGAATTAAACAAAATACACATATATATACACACATAATTTTTATGGAACTGAAATATTTTTATGAATTATGAATCTGGAAGTTATATTTATGAACAATCTATAGTTTTGAATCAGAACAAAACAGACAGTATCAGCTGGACAGTTTCAGCTTCCACCTATCTCAAGGTTTCAATCTCTGTTTTGAATTCTTGAATAAGTATTCTGCAAATCCTAAATCCCAAGTTCTTATTCATGAGGATGAGAATATCCCTTCAGCTCTCTTGGATCTATGAATTCATTGCGGTGAATGATCTTAAAAGTTGCGCTGATTCTTGCTCCTTAATCTTCATGGTAGGAATATTCTCAACTACTAAAAAGCTTCAAACAAGAAAAGCAATAGTCACTTATAAAACAGTCACTCATGCAAATGAATGCAGCAACCCAAATTAGATATGATAAATTGCACAAAACATAAATGTTTGAAGTGGCATTCATTGATGAACTATGTAGGGTAACAATTACATAAAGAGATCATGATTAATACTTCTCAAGTCGTAATATAATAACAGCACTTACTTGTTATGATATGTGATAGCTGTGTATATTTCTTGGACAAATTCTGGACCTGAAGATTTCCCAAAAATTACCTACATTAAGAAGAATAGAAAAGTAACTGCAATCAGGACTACAGCATTTATTTATAGTCATCTTATATAAGTTTTAAGACAGTATCTCAAGACTTAAAATGATTCCTCAATTTTAATTTAGCTTGCTGGCATAAATGTCTCATTACTAATCACCATACTCCATTCAGGGTAAAACACAAGGAAAATGGAGCAGAGTTATTTCTAGTCACTGACTACCTCATGTCACATTATTTAGTTATGAACTAAAAACCTACGAGTCATAGGAAAAATGTTATTGTAAGCCACTTACATGTTGTCACAGTCTTTATGTAAGTGCTAAAAAGTTAAATAAGAAGTATTTTTAGAAGTTTTGGTTTTCAGCTGTAGCCTGCTAATTCAGGATGAGATACATCTCACCTTACCTTAGAGGTCTGAAGTCCCTTTAAAATCAATGAAGACAAATAGGCATTTCTGGCTCTAGATTTGCTTTCCTAAGACACATGTCCGTGGTAAGGTCTTGAAATCAAATAATTTAAAGGGAGCCCTGGGAGAGGAGCTTAGACAAGAATCTCTGCACTGTGCAAGTATATCTATCCGTATTTACAGGAAGGTCACTTACAGCGGAGAGGGAAGGCAGACGAACTGTGTCTATCCTAACTATTTGTCAAACCCTAATCATAACACAGGCAGAGTTTAAGGAAATCAACAATGCAGTATTGTGTAAAAGAAGGTGCTACATTCACATGGCACAGCTCTAGCTCTGGAAGAAATGTGGCTTGGAAACCACTGCTGATGCTTTGATTTCAGGTCCACAGGTTATGTAGAGCAAGGCTGTGAAGTATATACTAAACAATGTCAGCACACTGATAAAGGCCAGTTGGGTGATAGTCCTTGGTCCAACAGATCGACAGACTAAATTTTCCTCAAAGCAGTATTTCCACTCATTGTTTTCCTTCTCCAACGCATAAAACCACAGAAAACTTTTGTCTCAATGTCATTCTCAAGTAGCCAACAACATTGTCTTGAAAATACAAAAAAAAATTCAGGCTGACACAGATATCTGGGTTAGAACACTTCAAACTGAACCTCTGAAGCTTGGTAAAGTTGAATAGATGATCTTACAGTGAGAGATGTTGAATAACCTGAACATAGATAGGACTGTCTGCTTGCTAATAGTGTACACGTATGCCCTAATACACAATGTGTTTCAAACATTGAAAGCTCTACCAATACTGCATTCATGTTCAGGCAATGAAGATTCCGACTTTTACTTTTCAGCATAATACCTGAGCACTTGTGAAAACATAGCGCATGTAGAAGAGTTACCCTGGAAAATAGACTACATCATTCTTAAAAGGTTCCTGAAGCTCTGTGAATTTTTTTATTTAGAAATTCCATATGATGGATTACTGATGTAATATTTCGTCATTCTTCTGAAAATACGGTAGAAAGAGAGAGCAATATGCCTCTGGTTCCACTAGAATGACAAGTCTTTTTAGTTGTGGGTAAGGAGTATGGCCCCACTTTAGGATGAGAAAGTAAGCTTCTCAAGCACTCTGTGTTAGGTTTCCTAGAGACCCCATCAGAATCTGTGGTGATGGGAAGTAAATAAAGACTTCTCTCTTCAGAGGTTTCTCAGGAATGCATGTAAAAGCCTGCTAAGAAATCTCAGCATTTATTACCGGCATTGCACAGGAGGGGTCTTCACCACACATAAATTGGATCTTGATGGTAATGTTCCTTGCAGAAGCCAGCCGGTTAGCAAAATTAAGCCTCTGAGGGTAAACATAGAGGAGATTCCTGGAAGAAAGATAAGGAAGAATAAAATGGGTAAATGATACGCACTCCTATTTGAAAATTAAGTGAACAAATTAGCATCTTGCTCATTCCTCTCCGTGTCCTTCAATTCCACCTACATAGTGTAATATTAGTCAGAACTCTATTTCAGAAGTCCACAAAGAAAAGGTAATTTCTTGGTGTGACACATAGAACATCCTGTGTTTAAGATTTAATGTACACTAAGCTATGTTCTGTTACAAACAAACTTATCTTTGCTTGATGTAATGAAAACCAGGAATCTCTCAAGAAAGTAGCTCCTTTCTATATGTGAATAAACAGATTTTGGAAGGGGGAAAGAATCACTCAGAGGTGATAAAAAAAAGGAAATCAACAACTGAAGTTCATACATGTGTAGCTTATAGCAAAAAAAAAAAAGGCATATATTTCCAGGTTATACAAACCAAAAAGCAGTATCAATGAACCTGAGTAAATACAAATAAGAAAATTTGAAACAATAATTCCATAAGCCACCTCTTATTAGTAATGATACGAATAATGCTTTGAAATATAGCACACTTTGCTGTTTACTAGCTTCTGTACATGAACATATCACTAAACATAAAAAGCAACTTTAATTTCTGTGAGGAATATGGCAGCATGGGTCATCTTCTGATGTTTAATTCCAATAGAAGAGTTAATATTTTGACTCTTCTATTGGAATTATACATCAGAAGAGAAAGATTTTTCTCTGGTGAAGTTTACAGCAAATCCGAGATTTCAGGTAGACCTGGATTCTGGAATCATTATTATGTCTATCTACTGTCTTGTTTTCCCAATCTGATACAGGATTCTCACTGAGAATCACTTTGTCCTCTGAGTATAAGGAATAAGACTAGTGTTGGAAGAAAAATGCTGGCTTTCAGTGAGAAACAACAAGGACTACTCATGGACTTTCATAATTTCTTTCATCTGTGGCAGTCAGAAGCTGCACACAGAATTTGCCCTGTCCTTATCACAGATATCTTCTTGGTACCACTGCCAGCTGAAAAAGTCAAGCAGCCTTGGAGAATATTGTCATTAAGTCAGACACTTCATTTTCCATTTATTGTGTCCCAAGACCCAGAAAACTGTGGTTTATTCTCCTGATTTCCACGTGTCACAACATGATATTACTGTTCAATTACACAGTCCAAGGTACTCTTTTCAACCAACATGTGCTACATGAGACATGGCATGCCTTAGTAAAAAAACTAGCTTGTAATTTGCCTTTCCCTTCATTCAGAATGGTACTTCTGCCTGTCACATCAAAGACCTCTCTTCCTTACTATCTTATGTGCAAGTTTTGCTCTACCAAATTCTCTCCCAGATGATGTTAAAGAAAGCTAAGTGAAAGAGCAAAATATATCGCTAACCTCTACTGAATTATACTTGGGGGACTGACATATTAAATGAAGGATATTGTCAATACTACATCTGCCAGAAGTGAAGAAATACATGTAGGGAAGGCTGAATAATACAGTCATTGCTTCATTAATCTGCAGTGTAGGACAAGATGCCACAAATCTATATAATGTACCTGAGCACTGGATTTTACTTTTAGATGTGACTTGAGATGAAAGATATGTAAAAACACAGAGAGCTCTCTGCTGACTACACAACCAAGGAAGCATTATTCCAGCAAGTACTTGACTGAAAAGCTAAAGCTTGTGCTATTTATGCTGAAGCAGTTTTAGGGATCTTGCTTACATGTGTATTAAAACAATCAACACTGAGGAAGAACAGAGGAAAATGCTGACTCTGGATATCCTGCAGAGATGAAAGTGATGGCTGATGTCTAAAGCAGGAAGGTGAGAAGATGATCAAAAGATGTTCCCTCACATAGGCACGAATTGTAGACCCATTGCTGACCACTGCTTTAGTGCTACTGCCTGCACTCCAAAAGCCTGAGGGGAAGCAAAGACAAGGAGCATTTTCACCTGGCAGTTAGCAGGAGCATCAGGGCAGCAAATGCTGCTGTCTTTCAAATAACAGGACAACTAGGATGCCCATAAGGAAATGGTGGGCTCCAGAAAGCATTGCATCTCTGGCAAGGTTCTGAAATGAGCAGAACTATTATAGCAACATGTCACAGCAAATACTACTCGTCAGTGTGATTAAATTTCTCCCCTCACTCTCGCTGCAAAAAGTGCGAAACTCTACCTCCAGATACAGTCAGATGTGCTTAAAAAACAAAAGAACTATTCAAAGGACAGCATGAAAACATAAAATTAATGACAGAATACCCAATGCCACTGAAAATACAGTTCCAAAGGCCAGTAGAGTTCTGGGTGACCCACAGAAGAACACAGCATCTGTGGGGCAGAGAATGACCCAGAAGAGTGATAAGAGACTATTTCAGAATCAGTTACCTGCTGGGGAAGCTAAGGGTCCTCCTAGCCTGGTACAGGATACCACGTGGCAATTTTCATGTAAATTTGCTGACCTTCCTACACTTCATGGGGCTTAGCAGATTTAATCACTTCCCATGGGCAAAGCAACACAGAACTATCCTCTGCCAAAATAAAAATCTATCCAGAGTTTCAAGTCTGTGACCATTCTTATTTAGTGTTTGTAAATAGTGCTTGTGCATATGTGCCCATAAAAGAATCTTTCTCTTTGCTAGATTACACCTTGTGTGAGTTGTGAGCAAGTGCATCTCAAACTTTTTATGAATATTAGGAATCTTCATTGATGACTGTGATGAGAATTCCGTACACAGCAAAACTCAACATACATGCAGGTAGTCCCTACTGATACAAACCAGGAATGTTCTGTAGGTGAGGAGTGATGGGATGAGTTAACATTGGCATTTAAAACTTATGGTACTAGAAACAAATGCTGATGCACCCATTAATTATAATTTTCAATATTTGTTGATTCACAGTGTTGGTGGGGAGTCTTCAGGAAAAAAATGGTTAAAAATTAGAAAGCACATCACAAATGCATAACCAAACATGGAAACCCATTCTAGTCAGCCATTGACTAGGAAAATAGCACAGTGACAGAACTCCAACTGTCACATTCAAGAGGATATGTATTAGTCATATATTCCGTATTTTAGGATGGAAAATTTGGAAAATAGTTTGAATTCTTCTTCTCATGTTGCTAAAATTTTGAATCATCTGAAGAGTTGGTGGACATATCTAAAACTAGACCAAAGCACCTGTAGAAGACTCATATGTAGTACACATGCTCTCTCTGGATTCCACGGCAGAGGAGCAAATAATGCTGTGGGAGCAATAACAGGAGTGAGACACCATTATTCCTTAATAACCTTTCCTCATCCAAAACTAGTCAAGGATGGGGTAGAATAATTACCACCAAAGCGTTGGCTTCCAGCTCACACTGCAGATTGCAGCGAGTCTGAGAACATTGCTAAGTGGTTTGCAATTACACAAAACCACAAAGAAAAGGGTTTTTTTCCCCTTCCTCCAGAAATCCCCTAAGTGTTAGGTACTACCCCTATCACAGACAGGATTTCCTGTGCCTGGTTAAGCTGAGTTACTGTTGAAGTGATGTGACAAATCCCTCTTCCTCAGCACCAACATTTCATAATGGCAGTAAACAGCATAATTTTAATTTATATTTAATGAGAAAATAAAATGACAAACAAACTTTAAATTATATTATTTTTCCTATTAAAAATAGAGGGGTATGAAAGAAATAAATCTTGGAATGTTTTGACATTTTCAGGGAAATATTTTTATTAAAGAAATGTAAGTACACGAAAAAAGAAGTGCTCGATTTCACAGTGCACAAAGAAAGTGGGCTGGCTGATCTCTCTGGCATAAATCAGAAATAGCATCATTTTAAAAAATGGCATTACATCAGTAAAAAAAAAGAGCTGCAAGACCTGAGTTCAAAGACTATAACAGAAGGCTCCACTTTTCCTATCACAAAGGAAAAAGCTATTACTAAAAAAAAAATATTTTTCATCCCTTTGTAATACCTTTGACAACCTCCACCCCTAGTGTCTACATGCATAGCACTGGTGAAAAAAATAATTTGCAGACTTATATCCAAAAATTAGAAAACATTAAATCGCCTGTAAGGCCCTAGGAAGCCATAACACTCATCTTCAACTAAATGCTATCAAATCGCTTAAATAAGATCAGATGATTAGAAGAAAGGAAATAAAATAACATGAAACATTTTGCATTTGGCTCTATTCAAATTCAGAGTTACTCCTCATGGGTTAGTTTAATCGCAGACTCAAAATGGTATTCACAATGTGCAGAACTAAGCAACAAGAATTTCATGACAGTTAAATTAAGCAAAGGGTCATAGGGCTCCAGGGACAGGCTGGGCAGGCTGGATCATGGCCCAAGGCCAGTGGTGTGAGGTTCAACAAGGCCAGTACTGCGTCCTGCCCTTGGGTCACAACAGCCCCAGGCAGTGCCACAGGCTGGGGCAGAGTGGCTGCAAAGCTGCCCTCAGGAAAAGGACCTGGGGGTGCTGGTGACAGCAGCTGAACATGAGCCAGCAGTGCCCAGGTGGCCAAGAAGGCCAATGGCATCCTGGCCTGTTCCAGCAATAGTGTGGCCAGCAGGAACAGGGCAGGGATTGTCCCCCTGTACTTGGCACTGGTGAGGCCACACCTTAAATCCTGTGTTCAGTTCTGAACCCCTCAGTCCAAGAAGGACATTGAGGTGCTGGAGCAAGTCCAGGGAAGGGTAGTGGAGCTGGTGAAGGGTCTGGAGCGCAAATCCTGTGAGGAGCAGCTGAGGGAGCTGCGGGTGTTTACCGTGGAGAAAAGGAGACTCAGGGGGACCTTATCACTCCCTAGAACTGCCTGAAAGGAGGTTGTAGCCATATAAGGGTTGGCCTCTTCTCCCAAGTAACAAGCAATAAGACAAGAGGAAACAGCCTCATGTTACTCTAGGGGAGGTTTACACTGGGTATTAAGAAGTATTTCTTCACCAAAAGAGTTGTCAAGCATTGGCAGGCTATCCAGGGAAGTTGTGAAGTCACAGGCAGATATGCTGCTTAAGGGACATGGTTTAGTGGTAGTGGCAGTGCCAGGTTGCAGTTTGACTTGATGTCTATTGACCTATGTCGCCTAACTATGCATGTCAGCAGTGTCATTACCATTGATTCACTAATTAAGGTAAAGATTAATGAAAACAACTATTCTCTATAGATGTTGTCTTTACTATTACAAGTTAGGCTGAACAAATCCTATTTTGTTTTGGTGCCATAACTTTTACTTAGGGTGAAAATCAAAACAGAGACTTAAAAGAAAAGGTTAAGCATTGTAAGGTGTGAACTCTTGCTGAAAGAACATGACTGTTGAGTGAGAGCAAGCATTTCCTCTAATGTGAGTGTATGTATTCAATACAGACACCCTGGAAACAGGAGGATAGTGTGGAGACACCCAAATTTGCTTTAGGAGTAGCACAAATTAATTTTCAGCATGGTGGCTTTGATATTCATTATATCTGGCTGCAGAAGTGAGAACCTGAGGAGAACTAAAGAGAGAATATTCTGTGCAGACTCAGCTGTTGCTACAGCTCAGAAACACAGCCGTTGCTAATTTTTTTTGTCAAAACCAGACCTCCAGACATTGCAAGACTGCATATTGGAATTGACACTTAGTGGGGCCAGACAATGAGTAGGAAAGTTAAAATTTTTATTTTTTCATTAAACTAAAAAAAAGCATCTTTGCTCATGTTCATTTACATTTCCACTTTCAATTCTATATAAACAATTTTCCCTATAGAAATGTCTCCATTAAAGTTCTACCATCATCCAATTAAATCTTTGATACATAGAGAAGACAGAAGTGCCTTAACTCTGCATTTTAGTGTACTGGTGCTGCAAGCTGCCCTTGAGAGATTGAACACCACTGAACTGTGGCAGAGCCCAGGAGTGACTCCAAAATTTCTAATGAGGCTATAGCGAAACTGGCTTACTTATTTCCTGCTGACACCACACTGCAAGATGTTATTGTAAAATAAGATTTGCCACTTCCTCTTTTTGCTTTCCTTTAAAGCTGAGACACAAATCTAGGTGTCACTAACAGCCAAACAGATCTCTAGTTTACTTTGAATGTGTGGATCATCTCCCTGGAATAAATTAGTTTGCCATAATGAAGTTCTGAGTTGTATAGAACTACAAGTCCTTCTCTCCTCCTGGATTGGGTCAGATGAGCAGGTGGGAGAGCTGGCTCTTTGCTAAACTTCACTGCAAGAAATGAATAAGCTTCACATCACTTTATTCTGTTCCTTTATTCTGTAATTCCTTATTGGTAGTCACATTTTTGCCCCTAATACAAGACAGTATCTAGCTACTGTTCTAGGGATCAGAAATTCCCCTTAGAATAGAATAATCTACTGTTATTGTTAGAAGCATTATTGCTCCCTTGTCTTGACACAATGGCCAGATATCTAATGCAATGGTCAGATAAAAGTAATTTTTTCAAGTTATTTCTGTATCTATAATACTGCAATACACCCCATCAGAATTACTGTTAGCTATTACTGGAACACCACTTACTAGCAAAGAAATTCTGCACAAACATCTTGAAACAAGTGATGTAAATTTTTTATAGGACACTCAGATGTTCCAGACTACTAAGAAATAAATGACGGGAATTCCTGACTTGCATGCTACTGAGCACTGTGATCATCTTGAAACAATCATAACAGAACAGATTTAAAGAAATTAAATTACATAACCTGGAGTGCACATTCATACTTAAAAATTTCATAGAGCATTCATTACTTCCTCAGATACTCAGATGACTCAAATGAACATTAGAAACAACTGAGCATAAACATTTACCAGAAGTGTCAAAAATTATAATAAAATCCACTTGGAAAAAATGCCCAAAACCAAGCAATTACAGAGGATAGATAGATGATAGATAGATAGATAGATAGATAGATAGATAGATAGATAGATAGATGCCAAGTCAATGACAGTTGTTAAAGGGTTTTTTTTCATGTTATAGAAAATTTTTCAAAAGAACACAATTAGATTAGCAAACACATTATGGAATAACCTGCAAATATTTTATCTTGTAATGGCTAGGAAGATTAAATCATCAGCCCAACACATTGTCTTTAGCCTTTTTAAAAAGTATTTGTAGTGTCTATTTCTGAAAAAAAAAAATCACGTTTTTTGAAGAAATGTTAAAAATATATGTTATTTCTTACCTATAAATGGTATGGGGAACATACACTTCTCTAATTGGGAATTCCAAAATCTCTTTGTGAGGGCGATTACGGTTTTCTGAAAATGGCTTCAATGGGAGTAGTTCTGGTGTCAGACAATAACCAATGTTTTCTGGAGCTGGGGAAATCTCCACTTTAAGTGTTCCTTTAAAATTAAATCACAAAATCTTAGCAAAAATTATAAAAATTATCAATATAAAATAAAGATTAAAACAATATGTAAGGTTACATAGCAACAATGCAGAAAAAAGAACTGGTTCTTGGGCTGCATGAGAAGAGAAGCACAGGTACAGAAAAATACAGAGGAAGTAGCCTATACACATCCCCTCACAGTCAGAGCAACACATAGCTCCTTATATCTATTCTGTACTGTTTCAAAGAAAATAGAAAGATAGAAGTGATATCATATGCTGGCGATGTTACAGTGTCATTCACACACAAGTAATATAAAGTTTTTCTGGGAGACAAACAGCAGGTGTGCTGTTTAATACAGTTCTCTCTTACTCCCCCTCTCCCTCAGATTCTCCTCAGATTAATCTATGCCGAAAGTAGACACCACCCACCAGGAAAGCTAGGCTTTCTGTGGTGAGCAGTTACACAGTCAATACTAATAACATTTACCCCAGTACAAGTAGACTTTCAGTTTAAACTCTCTGCTGTGATAAGTTAAAACGGTTTGTGGAGCTCAGACTGTCATTTCTGGCAATCAGCTAGAAAGGAGAAACAGCTGTGACCTCAGTTCATATTTTTTAAGGTTCCTCCACAATGCAGAAGAGGTTGAACTGTAATTTACTTAAAAAGAAAAAGTAAGCTGGTCAGATGTCTGACAGTAGCTGCCCGCACTTCTCTATTTTGTTAACTAATGCTGACCCTAATATCAAGCTAAGATGAAATGTGTACACGTTTTTATCTCTCTGTATAAAATATGAACTATTTCAAAGCATTGCAGGGAAGTAGCAAGGATCCTAGAAATTTCATTTAAATAACTGTCTTCAAACAGTTTGAATAATAACAAAAGATATCCAGTAGGTACACTGTAAATTAGGGAGAAAACCAAATAATTAAAATATATCAAGATAAATCTAAATCTCCATATTCATTCATGCAGGAAAAAAAATTCAAAAGCATCTGTGTTCAGGTAGACACCAGAAACCCAGAAAGTACCACAATGGCACATATTATAGGCGTTAAACCAAATCAAATAAATTTTGAGGTTGGAATTTAGAGAACAGTTTCAGGGATAAAAATACATATAATACCTTTCATCCAAAATGAATTATGTACCTGGTAAAGTCTTAATTCTTCTTTGCAAGGAAGATGATCTTTTGAAATCAGCTAAAAATTTAAACAGATCTTCATCACTGAGCCTGTCTCCTTCCTACCAAGAGAAACACAAAAATCAGTACTTTTTTAACAATACTCCGTAACATGGAGAAAGGTTCGGGAGCAAACCATGTCCTTGAGGCATCCAAAGCAAGGGGCTTACTATTTACTTGACTGCAGTTATCCTCTGTCCCGATACAAATATAACTGGTAGCTTTTCCCAACACAATTCATATTACATAGATAAAAAACTGTCTTATGAAATCAGAACTAAAGAGAATCCAGTACCTGTTTAAAGAAGCTGGTCTGAGATAAAGTTTTCGAGTTTAATGTTGAAGTTGGATAGTTGTCCTCTGAGTTGAAACCTCTCTCAGAAAACCTTCTCGCCTGCAGCAGTGTTGCCTTCTTGTCACTACTGAATCCTTTCCCTTCAAAGGGAAATTAAATGTATCATCATCTTTTTTTCTGCTTTTTGCTGCAGTACAAAGATTCCCAGAATACATAAGAAAACCACAGGAACATCTCACCAACATCACAGGACAGAGTACCTAAAACATTCTGCTTCTTTTACTTCAGACTATGTGAAATAGTGGAATACTAGGACACATCTATTGAAGTGACATTATTTTTGCTGCAGAGCAAAAGTTTATTTATATTTTTAGTTCATGGGTTATAGAGCACATTGAATAATGGTCCTGCCTACCAAACTGAGATGTTTGGTACCTTGATTGTTCAGTACTGCTAGCTAACTCCATGGGGCTAAGAGAATTTTACTTTAACAAAGCCAGAGTTCAGTGAAAATTGGGCCTAATCCATGAAAGAATATTTAGCAGAAATAAAAACAAATATGCAGAGACAACATAGTGAGCACAATTAATTTGTAAGTGTTTGTGGGTCTGAAAAGGAAAGCTGACATGACTTGGAATCTGTGATTCACTTTTGATGCCAGAGTGAATAACATTGTTTCCTATATCCAGTCCTACTGAAGAGTCATTTTGCCATAGAAAAGTTAGCCAAGTACCGTTTAAACCTTCAGTTTCTTGTATTTCTCGTTCAAGTGTTGGAACGTTGAAGAAACTATTTAGGCTTATGGGAATCCAGGCGAATGGCATTCTGTACTTCCCCAACCTCTGACAAAAGGATTCAGCTTGTGCTTTCAGTTTTTCAATCTTTTCTTTTGTCTGAGACAAAGAAAATAATGGCTGTTTCAAAAGCAATCAGTTATTGCAATGTTACCATAGACAAAAATGCAAGTTACATATTTACAGTTCAGTAAATAATTTGCATTGGTATCTCTCATATTTTCTTGCTACATCACTGACAGAACTGTAGCTGTTTTGATTTGTACATTCACTTCAATTTCTTTTCAATTAGTTCATTTGTATTATAGAAATGTAGAAAGCCAATCTGTTTGTAGTAATCTTCAAATCCAGAAGGAACAGCCCACAGAAACATTAGTAGGTTCTACTTCCTTCATCACATACAGGAAAAAATTTTATTGAAAGCAATATTCTAACAGTGAGATGTGTGGAATCCCAGCAACCACTGTTGGTCTGTTCCAGGGAGGTAAATGACCATGAATTCCTTGAACAGAACTCACATTATTTGTGGACAACAGTACTGAACTGTACAGCTGCACACTACAACAGGCTGTCTGCCCATCCAAACCAATAGCATGTCTCTGAGGAACAAGTACTTCTGCTAATTCTACATTTCAGTAATTTCCTTTGCTCACCCTTATCTGCTTCATGACTCAAGCAGTACTCTGTCAGTATTGATTTCCAAAGGGGACAGTAACAATAATGCACCTTGTCTTTTCCTGATTTCTTTCTGTCGGCCACAGACATCAAACTGCTTGCACTGTGGACGATCTAACTGGCTTTTCCTCCAGCGTTTTTGGTATTCCATCCTATTTCAAAGGGTCTGCTCTTTCTCTATTGTTGTTTTGTTTTGTTTTTTGTTGGGTTTTTTTGCACGCATTTTTTGATTTAAATGTTCTTTACAGTTATTTACTTACCTTGCCAGCCTCACCTTCTTTAAGAACCATATAGGGTTCTGCACAGTCTCCGATTTCTCCTTGCTGAAGCACTTTTTCTATCTACAAAAAGCAGTAAAATAAGATGATTAAAGAAAAAAAGTCATCCAAATAGTAACATGTTGTTTCTCTAGCAGTTTGAAAGAGCTTGCCTAGATATATACCTGTATATAACATCTAAAAACTGTCTCTATGGAGTAACTGACACTAAACCTTCTAGTCTTCCATCTGTTAGAAAGCAGAAAGTATATATGTGATAACACCATCAACCACTTACTTTTTCACTGAAATCAGGGTAATTAACACATTCTAAATGAAGTGGTTCAGGCTAACTCAGTTTCAGAATTTAGCAAACAAAATTATGCAAAGTACACTAAACCAATGCCAAAAAACTCCACAGAATGCAAATAAAATTTTTGAAAGTGCCTTATTTCACTACATTTTTTAATTTCCATTAGGCACAGATAGGAAATTCTACATACTTAGTACAACCGGTACACAGGATACTAATATAACTTCTTAACTTGTGAGTGAGATATATCACTGGACACCTGCTCACATACTAGTATTAAAAACTATCATAATTCATCTCAGCTAGACAAAAGCCCTGTTTGTCACATGTCTTTGAACTCAGACAACAGAAACAGTTGGCAACAGGCAAAATGCTGTCAAAGTAGCACTGCAACATACCTTTATTACCAGGTAGATATCTGGTGAGGGGTAAGTGACAGAAAATATTGCTGATCTTGCCTGAGTAGACAAGTCAATGGAAGGTGTATGAGAACGCAATAATCCTCTTAATGAATCAGAATTGAGGTCACAATGAAAATTTTCTGAGATCTTGAAAAGAAAAAAGGGATTAAAATAAAGCAAAAATGCTTCAAATTTTATTTTAAAACAAATTAGAAGTTCTAACTACAACCATAAAATAAAAAATTGCAAGCATAGAACCAGCTGAATAACAAGAATCCTGGATCAGACTGCATGTATAAAAAAGTAGCAAGTTTTTTGTAACTGTTTCTAAGTTATTACTCTGGAGATAAAAACCCAGGCTAATTGAACAAAAATATTGTATACACACTTACCTTTTTTCTTTCCTTTATGTCATAGAGAGCTATGCATGCAAACAAAGGTTCTATCTCTATATCAAACCTGTTAGGGAAAAACACACAAGACAGTGATTGATACTGCACTTGCATGGCTATGCATAATTTAAAAAAAAATGGAAGATCTCTATTTTGTCTGGCACTTTCATTAAAAAATTCAGAGAAATGCTTAGCTCTGGACCTCAGCTCTCTCAAAGTCCTGAGGATTTTTTAAATTAGTGCATTATATTAGATGATTTCGAGAGGAAAAGAAGGGTAGTAAACTGCATACAATATATTTTCTAAATTTGACAGGAAGGTGGTCTCAGAAGTCAGTTAAAAATTATCATATATTGCTTTTTTTTTCCCGTTTGTGAAGTTGTCCTGGCTTTGGCTGAGGGAGAATTAATTTTCTTCAGAGTGGGACTAGGCTTTTGGATTTTTTGCTGAACATAGGGTTGATAATATAAAGGCTTGCCCAAAACGAAGGCCTTTTCTGTTTTTGGTATTCCTCCCACTGGTGAGGAGACTGGGGTGTGTGGGAGACTGGGAGGAGACACAGATAGGACAGGTGACCCCAAATGACCAAAGGGATATTCCAGATCAAGTGGCACATGCTCAGAATGTACGTGGGGGGTAAAAGGAGCAAGGGGGGAGGGAAATCTGGAGTGATGGTGTTTGTCTTCCCAAGACAGCTTATGTGTGGACTTGCTCTCCTGGAGATGAATGAACACCTGCCTGCCCTTGGGTACTGCGAGTTAATTCTTTTTTTTACCTTTGCTTGTCTGTGTGCCACTTGCTATTAGAATGTCTATATCTCAACCCATGAGTTCTCCAGATTTATTCTTCTGGTTCTCTCCCCAATCCTGCTGATGGAGGAGTGAGCGAATGGCTGTGTGGGGCTTGGCTGCTGGTTGGGGTCAAGCCACAATGAAAGTCCAGCAGTATATAGGACACCAATTGCCTTTTTTTATTTTCTAATATATAATCTGGATTCATTCCCAACTTCTTTTCATCCAGGCAAGTTAAAGATTTCTGTATAGATGGATAGAAATAATTCTCTGCTACACTAAGAAAGAACACTTAAGCAGTGAATGCTGCTGTACAGGCTACCTGTGGTGGTGTAACAAGGTGTGCAGCTGTACACTGCTGTGAACTCAGAAATGGTGAGGAATGCTTGTGAAGGATTACTTACTTCAGAGTCTGCAGCTTCACCAAAATCCTGTTGCCCAGATGTTCCTTTGGGCGATCTGGCACTGGCCGTATCTCCACTGCATCTTCCTATCATTAAACAGTTATACTCAATTGAAACAACTGCAAACTTACACACTCACATAAAACATTTACGTGACACCAGCCGAGCCACTGCTACAGACTTGCATCTTCCTCCACTCAGTGGGCAGCTAATGTCTCCAGCGATGAAAGAAAACAGATTTATTATTTCTGAGTATTTACATTCCTGACCCCTATCTGGCACTTACACCAAATATTTACAGTTGTGGACCCCAAGTACAAGCTGCTATGAAAGGTGACACCCTGACATAGCTATATCCCCAGCATGTGGCTTGGCCCACACTGAGAGCAGTGCAATGTTTATCTGCTGTGGCGCAGCTTTAAGCTCGGGCCTGCTGGGACAGCCGGCTGGGAATGACTATCAGGAGAGCCGGACCCCGCTCACCTCATCGACAGAGGGGTAGAGGGCGAGGAGCTCGGGGTGCCTGTTGGTGCGGCGTGCCTCCTCGTTGAGCCTCTCGAACTCCTCGGCGCTGACGTGCCGCAGCAGGTGCTCCAGCCGCGGGTCCGGCTGCAGGCTGCGCAGCTCCAGGTCCGAGCAGGCCGGGGCCGCCCGCGAGGCCTCCTCCGCGACAGCGGGCACCTGCTGGGGCCCCGCCTGCAGGAAAACAAGAAAATGTCAAGCTGTGGCTTGAGCACCGGGGTGTCACAGAATGGCTCTTGGCGACCTGGCAGAGAGGATCTTAATGCCTCCTGGTGCTCTGCTTGATGCCATCACAGATCACAGAATCACAGAATATGCTGAGCTGGAAGGGACTCACTGGGATCACAGAGTCCAGCTCCTGGTTCTGCACAGGACGCTGCAAGAATCTCATGTGCCTGAGAGCATTGTCTAAATGCATCTTGAACTCTGTCAGGTTTGGTGCTGTGATTACTTCCCAGGGGAGCCTCTTCCAGTGCTCAGCCACCCTCTGGGTGAAGAACTTTTTCCTGATATCCAACCTAAACCTCCCCTGACATAAATTCAGTCCCTTCCCTCAGGTCCTGTCACTGTCACCACAGAGAAGAGATCGGTGCCTGCCCCTCCTCTTCCCCTCACAAGGAAAATGTAGATGGCAGTGAGGTCTCCCCTCAGTGTCCTCTTCTTCTGGCTGGACAGAGCAAATGACCGCAGCCACTTCTCACATGGCTTCACCACAAGGTGATGCCTTGAGGAGGCTGCTGGAACAGAGGCTGCACACAGAGTTAAGGGGAACAAAATGGGTATTTATTGAGGCCTACAAAAGGCCTACAAAAGCCACACCCCAGCAATACAAGTGCCACAGTCATGGCCCCTGCCTGGATGGCTCCAAGATGGAAGGAAAGGAGGGGTTGGTCACAAAACCTTACACTTTTATAGGTTCTGGTTAATTTGCATGAACCCACCCTCCACCTTCCCATGTAGTTTGTGCTTAGGGCCTGAAGTTTGGAGAAACTGTCCTTGAGTTCTTACCTAGAATAGGACTGTTTTGTCTTCCTCACCCTAGCACATCAGAAAAGCACATCCAAGGAGAACAGGAAAACTTAAAACTAAAGGCATCAAAGGCCCTTCACCATCTTTGTGTCCCTCCTTTCGATGCTCTCCAATAGCTTTATATCTCTCTCATATATCAAAGACCAAAACACAACATTCAAGGGGAGGTCACACCAGATGCTTCTTTTGAGGGAAGCTGCTGTATTTGATGACTTTTCCCAATGTGAAGAAAATGTACCTGAAAAGTTGCATCGCTGGAATCCAATGTTTCTGATTCAAATGTTTGTTTTTGAAGCGTTTTGTGAAAATCTTTTCGGGATCCCTTGTTTTTCAGGCTACAGGTATCTGAATTCCCTTGGTTTCTATCATGGAGAAGCCCGAGAAAGTCAGGATAACATGAGGAGGTGTTAATGGAAAATAAAACAGAAAAGACAAATTAACAATTACTTAAAAACTGAAAAGATGGTCCTGCAAAAAGCAGCATAGCACCACTTTTATGCAAAAATGTGACCTTTCACATTTAACATGTTTTAACACACCATTGCAACTCTATAATGTATATTTAGGACAGTTTAAAGGGAAAAAAATCAGACCATTTTTCTGTAGAGTATAAGCCTGAGACAGCAGGAAAACCTGACCGAGGTACAAAATCTGCTCTGATCTCCTCGTCACACATGGTGATTATTTCAGTGACCTTAAGAACGTGGATCAGGATCACTTATCTCTTGGCTGGCTTCTTTAATTATATACATCAAAGCTCTTACTGCTCCTATCCTGGACCTAGCTAGAATCCCAAGTTAATCACATGCAACAATCTACACGTTCCAAAACAATGCCTGATTTGGAAGAGGGCTATTTATATGCCACAATGTAATCCTCCAGGCTGGCAGCTTTGAAAAATTCTCCTGAAATTTCAAGTTACATTTTTCAGGCAGATGGAAAAAAAACAGTAGGTACCCTGAAAAAAAAGGTGTTAGATGCATCCAGAGTTTTATTTCTTTCACTTTAGTATGCAATTTGCTAAATCCTGTGACGGTCCTTTTGCAATCTATCTCCTCATTTACAACATCCTGCTTCATTCATTTTCCTTTCTGTGACACTCCCAAAAAAATGACTGAACATCTGAGTACTTTCATAAAGAAGACACAATAAGCAATTATTGATCAGGGAGACATCTTTTTATTACATTTTGGGAGTAACTGAATTATATGCTCTGATGTGTTTTAATTTTAATTGTTTGCATTTTAATCGTTTGCCAGTTCACTGCAATGAAAACTGGTCATAAAAAGGCAATCCCAGCTCTCCTTGGATGTGACCTTGTTTTGGAACCACTGTAGTTATCCAAAATAGAAGGGAGAAATTCTGCATGACTTTAAGACATTTAAGAATCCAAAAGAGGTTGTATAGATTATTTTTTCACTATTTTGGTGGCAAACAAATGATTAATGGTGAAATTTATGTACCTGAGTTCACATTTTCCCTGTGGTATGAAAACTACACTAGAGATGCCTTTCCCCTAAAGTACTCCTGGAATATGTATTTATATTGCTTATTTATTTTGAAAAGCATTATAGCAATTAAAACTTACCAAGTGGCAAACCATGCTTTCAATACCTATGTCAATTTAATGGGCACACACTGAATTAAGAAATTGAGATGAGGAAAAAGAACAAAGGAAAACTGAAAGGAGAAACAGGCACAGGAACAAGCTTCCTGCTCAGCCTCCAACAGGCCACATGGACTCCAGCTGTGCCCAACCTCTGTGCCACATACTTCTCTACCCTGGAGCCTGAGGATGGCTTCTGCTCATGAGGCTCCCCATCTCCCATTCTGAACCTTCATGTTCATGAACGGATCAAAGTCACTCACATGCTTCTCTCACCCTCAGTATATTCTCTCAGTATATTCAGCAACCTGTTCTATAACATCTGTCAAGTAGGCAGCTACAGTTTTTCTAGCCTTTCTCAAAACAATGGAAAGCCCTCTACAATTACTTTTTTTCTCACTTCTTGCTTGATACCTTTTCTTTCTCTCACTCCTATTTTGAAAAAAAACTGTCCAGCCATAATATGAGATTCCCAATAACTATCTATCACTGGTTTATGTGACACTGCAGCATATTCGGTAGTGTTTTGTTCTTCGCAATTTTTAGTAACTTGCTTGCACTGTTAGCCACAGCTGCCAAAGCTCAGCTCTCTGGCAGAGTCCACCATTGTGTTTATCACAGAGTCAACTGCTCAATAAAGATTTTGAGTGCAAGTTTACCTCACCTGAATGAATAAAATAGTAAAACACTTGGCAAAACTTTCCACATATGTGCATTTCTATGGCTCCATTCACATTTCTACCAGCACACATAAATGCAAGAATAGCTATGTTCTGTTTTTCACCTCATCTACTTTACTGCTCACTCCCTTCTCCTGTGCACAAACAAAGCTGCACGCTGGCTCTTTACAGCATGCTCAAAACAGCACTGTGTGAAAGAGCTAGTGCCTCTGCTCTGAGTGGTGCAGGAGGAGAGCCCACAAAACCCAGGAGCCTACTTTTAGTGACTCACTGAGGAGCACTTCTGAGAATTCAGTCAATTTCATCAGCACCCCTGGAGGAAGGCTCTTAATAACCCCCAGCAACTGCTTCACTGAGGAGCACAAGCTGCATAGTTAGTGCAAATTCCTCTAGAATCATCATTGTAAACCCGTAAGGCACTGGGTGCTGATGTACATCATGTCAGAAAAACACAGAGTAACAAGGGCGAGTGAAAGGGCAGAACAAAATGGCAGTAAATGTGTCAGCACTCAACCATTAGCTGCTTCTTCTGCTTTTCAAGAGCTGGGCATGAGTGCAGGAGTGGATGAAGAGGAAGTGCTACAGACAAAACTGAGCTCCAAAAACCTCTTTCTGAATAACAGGATGAGGTGATGGGGAAGGAGGCAAGACATCCCACAGACTCTCCTAAGAGTCTGGGAACAGATATCCCTGCAACAGAGAGCACTGACTGAGAGTTCCCTTCACATTTTACATATGAAATTGAATAGGACAGAATAAAATTAAATTAAATTAAAATATAATGAACTAAACTAAAGGAAATTAAGCACTTATAATGACTACTCTGGTCCAACTCTGTGTGTTGAATTACATTGACCTCAAGTGTAGAAATCATTTACTGATGTAAAATAGTAAATTTGGGTATAACACGGATAATCCCATGAATACACTCAAGCACCACTGGGAGAACCCATAATCCTTCAGTTTTCAGACACATTTGGAAATCAAATCATGTTGAATTTTCAGGACATGAATAAGAGAAAAGTATGCAAATATAATCTTTATCCCTATTATCTTTCCTTTTAGCAGGATCAAACAGTACTAGTTTTACTGATTAAGATAAATGATCATTACAGAGGGTTGATGTGAATTTCTTCCCATCAACTTCCCATCCATTCCCAGAGTGCCTGATAAGTAAGTTACAACAGTATTTGGCAATGCACACAATCTCAGACAATACAATATAGTTAGTTATTCTACTGAAAAGTCATTCTTATCTTTAATCACTAACTAAAATCATTATAATTTAGGATTATTTATAACAGCAGACTTCTCCTCTCTGGTAACTAAAATGCAATGTATTTTTTATTTTATTTAGTTTTATGTCACTTACTTTCTATTCACAATCAGCCACTCACGGATGTAAGTCTGAACACAGTCTTTGACATGTGAGTCCAATTCAACCCTGTGGAGAAAGCAACATATTTCAGCTCCTAAGTCATACTTTCAGGACAAACAAATTTATCTAAACATGCTAGTCAGATAAAGGCCTCTCTGTTAGTCCTCTCCTGTGTATTTATTTTACTGCTAAACTATTGTTTGAGGTTTAGCCCTCTGTACGGCATGAATTCCATTATTCAGGTTTTTGGTACTGTGCTGATAAACGTGCAAACATACCTTTAATGGAGGTAAACACTTGTCACACCATCTATTCATAAATATAACAGTGACGTTGCTATAAAATATAGTAAAATTGAATAAAATATACAACATAACCAACCTTGTGATTTTCAAAACTTAACAAGTCTCAAGATAGAAAAATATTTTTTAGAGGCCTTAGCCCCTGGACTCTTGCAAATACATAGTTTTAAGGTAGGTGCAATTTTCTCTTTCTCACAGAAACAAAGAAAAATCTAAAAAAGGGACACTAAGATTTTAATCAGATAGCATAATAAAATTTTAAGTTCTAAGAATATGTTTTAATTTAACTTTCTGTTTTTCAAATAAGTCTCCTTTAATGAAGGGGATTGTCAGTGCTCCTTGATAGACAGGATACTATTTGGAACTGCAGGTCTTTCAGCCAAAGACAGTGTCCATGTACTTCACATCATGATGCTGTGGCATAATTCCCCTATCCCTATCCTTAACATTTTTAATGATCTGTTCCAAAATAATTTGTAGCATTCTCCAATCCAAGTGAGTCAAAGAGTAGGTAGGACACACATTCAATATAGGAACACTTGAAAGGTATGATAATTTTCAGCACTTTCCACATAGAACTCTTAAGAGATTTGCAGCTGGTTATGGAGTCCAGCTAAGAGCTAATGTGGTAGGACAGAGCCTTGGCTGATGCCAGGCTGTGAGTGCCCCTGCCTCTGGTGGTTTGTGCCTGTGGTGCAGGTGAGAGGTGTGTTTGCTGGCAGGCAGTGCATTAACCCAGTTTGGTCGGTGGTACCTGTTTCCTGCTCTCGGTGCACAGAGGCATCAAAGACTCCATTGCCTGCAGGCTAATCCTTGGTGCACGCCCCTCCCGTGTTCTCATTTTCCCTAACACATCCTGGCACCCTTGACCAGGATTTTCTGTAGAAACACCAACATCAATGATAGCAATGCGAATGGCTAAGTGGCAAGCTGCTGTTTAAAAAAAATCTGCTGAAAGCATATTTGTTGGTATTGACTATTTGAGCTTTGTCACAGACTCCTTATAAAACACTTAATAACTCTGTGGTGCAAATCAGGCTTAAAACTGATTGTACAGCATGAGCCTGAATGGTCCCCTACTGGAAAAACAAATAGGTAACTGCTGTTTTAAACATCAAGCATGATGGGGAGCAGCCTTGGAAAAAGGTAAGGAATGGCCTTCTTTTAGATGTAATTTCAAAAGTTGAATAATTATTTCAATATTTTTGTCCATCATTTAAATAAAAGATTACTTCAAGTAAAAAACCCCCATTCATTGTCTCCCACATCCATTCTCTCTAAATTCATAGAAAAAAATAATAATTTGTAAAGACTGGGACTTTTTCTGTTAGTAACTTCACGTGAAAATCACCTTTTGTGCCAATATTATAAAATCCCTTAGAAGTTGTGTGATTCAAAGAGTTCTCAGGTAACCTGGCATGGTATCTCATCTCTACTGTCTTTATTCTCCTGAACTTCTTGAGAGAAGCACTAGGCCAAGAAGAAACTTGCAGACTTAAACCTTGCTTAGAGAGAGGGTTCTCAGCTAGTCTACAGCTCGCAAAAATCACACAAACTGTGTTACCTGCTTAGCCTCATTGCATTTGTTATGTCGGGCAGAAAAGAATTAACAAATACTGCTGTTAATATAGGGCTCTAGTTTGAACAGCTGGTTGGTAAAAATTAGAGCAGCATGCAGCAAGTTTTGCAGGAGCAGAGGGGGATGCAGGTGTGCCCTGTGAGCCAAGACACAATAAAAGAAGCCTATTTCTCCCTCAGCAAGGAGGTTCAGCACAGCACTGAATCTAGCCTGTGCTGTTCATTTCCTGGATACTCTGGAAGGAGACAGCCCCCCATCCCAAATACATTGTATGGTTACTATTTCTGCAGATGTAGCAGTTTGGGGCTAAATGGTGCTGACTTCACATTTGCTTCACTGTTACTGCTTGCAAAACTCAACAGGCCTTTGGAGTTATACTTAAAGGTACCATTTATAGTGAAACAGTCCCTGAAGAGAATTTTGTATACAATGCATAGACTTTCTAATACCACATTGAAAAAACTCTCCGATGGATTTTCTCATTCTGAAAAATTCTTTTGCTCATAGCATGCTTGTTTTTCAAACCAGCTTAAATATTTGCAGGACCATTAAGCACCAGTGTCACCACATGCTACCTATTTAATTTAAGCTGTTGAAAACAGTGTAATTATTTCATCAATGTCAGCCTAAAACCACATGTGACTTCTACACTAAAAATTAACACTCACCCCCTTCCCAAACTTTGTGAAATATAAACTGTTTCCTCCTATTTAAGCAAGACAGGTACTGAGAAGGAGATTCTTAGTGATCTGATCAATGCCATGTAACACACGGTTGTCAAAAAAACCCAGAACCCCCCCAAACCTCAATACTGTGCTTGTTACATGATCAGAATCAACTTTCATCTCTGGCATTACAGCTACAAAAATTATTCTTCATACCATCCTTCTGTCCTTCTTTACTCTTCTTCCTGTTTGATATCTACCTCACTTTTGTGGCTACCAAGCCTAGGAAGCTGTGCAAATTTGCATAATTTTCAGTGTGCTAACAAGCACAGTGGCAAAGTTCAAACATTAGAAGTTCAGGAGCCGTATAATGGCTGGATGGGCAGAGGGATGTTGGATCAACATCTTCAAAACTATTTTTTAACTATTCAAAACTAACTTTATTTTTGCAGCATTCTAGAGGGACAGAAACTCTCCTTACCCATCTTCCGGCATAGAGGGCTGCAGAGTTCTGCACTCTTTGGGTGTAAAAACAACATCCAGATCATCTTCAGGAAAGTCCCCGAGTTCTTGTGCTAGATCTAAGTCCAAGTTGTTCAGCTGCGTCATCAGGAAGCCTTCAAAATCTACTGGGTCTACTGCATCATAAAAGGAAGGCTAATGAGAAATAAAGAAGCATTTATTTTAGCAACTGAAGGTTCTTCTTGATAGTGTAATTTAGGCTTATTCATTTAACTATTGTAATTGTCCCATCATTTATTATACATTGGAAACAAACATCTAAACTTCTAACCTAGAAACAAGAAAGGATATAAGGTGACCTAAATGGCAGCAACAGACAATGCCAATGAGCAGGAGACAGCAGACAAAACACACCAGGAATAACAAGGCTAAGTCCTGGAAGTTACTCCAAGTTACGGAGCTAAGGACCAACTGTAAGCACTGTGGCTGCTGCCATCACGAAGATGCACTCATTTGAGGTGCTGTGCCTGAAAGACACTATTAGGAATGCTCTGTGCTTTCGACTGCAAACAAAGTTGAGGACATTATATACTGAAAATCAGAAAAAAATACTATTTGTCATCTCTGAATGTTACTGGGTTTTGTATTATTTGAGTTCTTAATTTATCGTATTTTTAAGGGTTTGTACAAAAAGGATTTGCTTTTGCAAAAGATTACATGGAACTACTAAAGTTATTACTGCAAACCTTAGCTATTCCCCATTTCTACAGTGCACAGCATTGCACCTTGATAGAACAGCAGTTTTATCTCATTACATTTAATTAGCCATTCTTAAACAGAAGGTCCACTCAGAACAAAGTTAAACAATTACAACCCCTATGACTCATGCATGCCATTAAACGGTCTGCCTTTTATCTGTTTAGTGCCAAAAACAGAGGCAGAAACTCTTGTTTGATTTGATACCTGGAGATGTTCTACATACAAATAAATGTGACTTCATGCATTAAAAGTGTATGTTATTGTATGTATAGACAAAATTGAAAATTATTTTACTTGTTATGTAGCAAATAAAAATAGCCTGTATTTCTTTAGGAAATACAATAGTTGTCGAGTTGGGTACAGAGACTAGAATCTCTTATCATTGATTTTCTTGGCAAGTAAAAAGTAGATCTAAAAACTACAGCTTTAGAAAATCTATAGTTTATTTTCTGTGTGTTCCAGAAAGGCCAATGACACCTCATCACTGTAAGAGTGAAGAAAATTAGTTGCAGCATTAGAATAATAGCACTGGAATAACTTATTTACTGTGAGGAAGAATTCTAGTAAAAACCAGCAAATAAATCTTCCTTTCTGTAAAGGGCGAGGATTGCATTGCACTGATTAGCCCAGATATTTTTCACAAGGCTGTCTTCTGAAGCCCCCAGCAAAAATACATCTGTGATGCTGTTGATGTGTTGTGTGGAAAAGAAGGCACCCAATGTTGCTGATATCAACACACCTTTATAGTCAATGTTATTTTGTCTATTTTCTCATCCAATGTGTTCTTAAGATATCCTCCTTATACTGTAGTGTTCTGCAAAAAAAAATCTGTGGGTCAAAACCAGCAAATCTTCTTTCATGAATACTGAGGCCTGCTCATGCAAGACTTTCATGGAAGTCAACATGAATTTCGCCAGAGCATAAAGTGACACCAGTTCATACCATTCCTACAACAGGAATTTTAGGTCAATGGGACAATGAGAAATTTCTCAATTTATGAAATATGCACAGAGACTTAACAATGGCAAAGCTCCAGTAACTCTGAACTAAATTGGTTCACACTTAATATGCCACATCAGCCACAGTAGATAAAAAATGTGTTAAAAACAATAATAAATACAAGCTTTGGAACCTTTTTAGTGTTCTGGAGATACAGCTGAAATTTTTCAGATAACAAAAATCCAGAAATATCTTGCAGAAAACAAAACATATTCGGAAGAAATGTGCTGGAAACATTTAGGAGAAGTAAACCAATTTAAACTTCTGAAAAAAATCCTAGATGTGGTAAATACTCCTGCAAATATTTTAGTAGAGACGTTTGAACCTGAACAAGTACCACCCCCTACCTCAGGTTCCCCTTTTATAGGGAAACTATATTGGCTTCTGCATAAAAACAGTCTCTGAGCTCACTCCACATTTAAGGCTTAATCCACCGAATTATCAAAAATGTCTCTGGGAAAAATCTTTCCCTTTCCTTGCTCTTTTTAGCCAAAGGGAAAACTTAACATTACCAGCAAGTCCATCAAATTATGAGGCAGTCAGCCAAAGAAAAATACTCTGCTACTCTGTTTTTAATGTAAGCAGTATCTCTGGCTTGCAAACAGTCTAGTGCTGAACATGCTGGATCAACAGCTATGAGTAATACCTTATTTCCTACTTTTTAAAATTAATTTACAGCATAATATGTTTGCAGTTCACTTACTGTACTGTCAGTGGGTAAAGCATGTCATGTTAGTATACAGATATGTAAACAGGTCTATACAGAGATTTTTAGATATAAATATATAAAGATATAATATATATATAAATATATATAAGAATATATCATAAATAAATTACATTTAATAAGTGAAAACATATATAGTTAGATCTACTAAAAAAGCAATTCACAGATTAAAGTAAAACACAGCTTAAAGTATATAAATGTATACTACATCTTTTCAGTTGCTGAAGATACGTTTTGCATGCAAAATAGCTCTGCTTAATACAATGTAATTTTTGATAAACCATTGCACTTCCTTTCAGTAGTCACACTTTTCCATCCCCGCAGGTCAAATCCATTGCATTTCATTGTGTCCTCTTTTTCTAGTTCAAGTGTTAACAATAACCTTTAATCACTAGAAATATGCACTTTTGACTATCGTAAAGCAGACACAAATGTAAAAAAGATAGTGCAAAAAGTAAATGCAGGTGGAGGGAAATGATCTCTCTAACAACTGGTACAACATTTCAAAGGAAACACAGAAAATACCTCCAATAAGAAGCCAGCACTCCTTTTCATATATCAAAAAAGTGGGCAAAACAATTTTCTACAGAAAATGCCACGAATCATTACTGCAAACATACCTTTTTAAGGATGACGAATTAGAGGCATGTAGATTGTGATGGCACACACAAAATGGCAGCTACAGCGTAATACTTGGTAAAGGAAATGCTACCAAGTTTTTTGGTAGAACAAGCGGTTGTCTGCGTGCAGAAGAAGGGACCTGGCCTCGTCAGGCTCAGTAACCACAAGGAGCAACTTAAAGATCACAGTGCTTCAGATTAAGGAAGTGAGTAGTGGCGGGAGGCCCTGACACAGGAAGCAACCACTTGCATCTAGATTTTCACAATCACTGGTGCACAAAGGCTCTTCCTGCTTCTTTTTATCATGCCTCACAAAAAGAATCAAAAATTAAAAGGGTAGGGACAGGGAGAGTGCCAAAATCATAGTCAGTTTTATTTATGGCATAGCATGTTTTCAGAATACTCATCCTCCTGAAAGGCAATAAAAAGATATGGCATTTTTTCCCTTTGTCATAAGGGCACCGTCATATGATCTGACTTTTTTAGAGGGTGATAACATGTGGAAGGCTGAAGATGATTCGGAGACACGTAACAGTTGACTCAATTGTATCTATGCCAATCAGAACATACTTCAGCATTTCACACTTCACATGCACATTCTACAGCACTGAAAAACAGTCAGCATGTTGCCCCTGCTGCTAGCTCTGGAAACTGTATTAAGTCAAATTTGTTGAGCGTTTACCTTTCTTTTTTTTTTTTTTTTTTCTTGATTCAATGATCTGTGCTGGTTTTGGCATAGATACAGTTGATTTTTCTTTATAGTAAATATTATCGGTCTATGTTTTGGATTTGTGCTGGAAACAGTGTTGATAATAACATTTGTTTTCATTATTGCTGAGCAGTGCTTACAAGGAGCCAAGGCTTTTCTGCTCCTCATACCACACCACCAGCAAGGAGACTGGGGAAGCAGAAGAAGCTGGGAGAGGACACAGCCAGGACAGGTGACTCTAGCTGACCACAGGATATTTCAGACCACATGGAAGCATGCTCAGTATATAAAACTGGGGGAAGAAGAAGGAATACCACACAAAGCATTTACTTGAAGAAGTTGAATGTTTCCATCAGGCAAAGGATGTAATATACTCCAACACTTGCTAAGTTTGATTCACAGTAATATGTAGAGGCACTGTCTATTCCAGGCTCCAAGGCTCCATTCTCATGTTTCTCAAAGGCATCATTTCCTCAGCTCACCGGAGAGTATTTTTTAACAGTTTCAGGTAGAAGCCAGTGTAAAGCAAGACAACTTAGAAGATCATTTAATTTACCCTAAAACCATTAAGCAGTGTATATACCACATCTGTGTCAAGAAGATAAACCTAGAACTTACCAGATTACATGTAGAAAAGCCAGGGGTACTTAAGCTTCGTTGACAGAACTGTGCAAAGCCTGGTTGGAGAGTAAATTGCTTTCTTATTTCTGCAGAGGAGTGCCTTTAATTAAGGAGAGAAAATATAATTACAATTATCCCTGTACAAATTCCAATTTAGTCTCCTGTCCCAGTGTTTAGAAATGTATTTTGATAATGGTCTAGACTCCTCTTAGTTTGTAGTTGGTGCAAATCTCATAAAACATTTGCAGTCCTATATAACCAAGGTTCTTGCCATTCTTCCAACAGATTTTTATCATTATATTGCAGCTTTCACAACTGGGAAATGCTATGTGAGGAAGAATGACCTTGGCCTTAAGTGTGACTGCGACCTTCAGAGCAGTACTTGGAGATTCATTTCTGCAAAGGAAAAATACTATAATAAAGCAGAGAAAGAAAAATGAACATCACATAAGTTAATATTTTTAAATTGATCAAGGGATAAAAACAAGACAAGACCACTCATGGAACTATATAAGCCCAGACTTACACTACTAATGCAGTTTGCTGTAAAAAGCCCAAAGCAAATCATTTGGAAGAGGGTTTCCTACTCATCAGTGGTATTCCAAAAATCAAAACCAAGATCTTTTAAAGGTTATTCAATGATTACATATGCAAGAAGCCATGTAGGGAAAGTGAAAAAGTCTGTGCATTCTGTAGATTATCTCTGACCTATTTTAGAAAGAAAAGCTGCTTGTATATCAGGGTTATTGTTATTCAATTTCCCACCACAAATAATATCTGTTAATGAATGCATGTACAAAACTCAAATTATTAAAAATTATTATTTTACTGCAAACTGAGTCAGTTTCTACCCTGTGCAGAAGTATCTGTTACTGATGGAAATAGTAAAGGTAGCAGCAGATGTAAAAACTGTGTTGCAGTCTATTGCAGAAGTTGCTGCTGTAAAAAATTAATTAAGACATCTTTAAATTACAATTTTAATCTTTAAATCCAATATGGGGTTACCAGATGCTTCAAAGAGGAAATTATATGAATTTTCAATACAAGAAAAGAAGGAAAAAGTACCGAGGAAGCATACATACATATGAAGGGCCAAATTTGCTGTCTGGTAAAAGCCTCAGCAAATGTAGCTAATTGAGAGCAAATGCAGTTCTCAAGAGCACTGACATCAGTTCCAGTGTCTCAGCAATAGAAAAAACTTGCAAAATAAATCAGTCCAATGGATGACAAACCTTGTAATCTGTAATGGCGACTTTCAGATAAGAATAGTTCATTTGACTGGCTTCACAGCTTTGCAATAGCTAAAGGAAGAAAGCACAGTAAGAATAACAGAAGACAGCAAAATTTGTTTGAATCAACTCAGAAATTATTGCCTAGATTTGTTAGGATTAGAAAAAGGAAAGTCCTAATTGCTAAAAGAACAAAACGCACAAGCTAGTCACATCAACATGGAGGAAAGGTAAGTGTAACAGTCAGAGATCTGCATGGAAACTTTTGAAAACTTGAGAACTAAGGTAGAAACAGAAGTCCTGCTATATGGCTCTTTGATAACGCCAGAATGGCTGTTGTCTGTGACATGCCTGTTTTCTGATTAAAGAGCTGCCTTGGACAATACTGGTGTACTCTCAGGAAAATGGTAGTTCACAGTCATTTAGCATATGTAATTTCTTAGCTTTCATGGAGACTGCAGTCCATCTAGGCCTGGCTATACTTCTACCTTCCTTGTCTGTACAACTGGCCTGTCTGATTCTGAGGAGAGCTTTACAGTCATACTTGACTGCAACAGTGGTCTATCTGTGTGCTAAAAAACAAGGAAAGAAGGCAAGTGGTTAAGGATAAATGCAAAGCAGCCACTAAAAAATTTGAGAAAAGGTTCTGTGGTTTCCATTCAGTTGAAGCAAGGGGACCATGAAATTTCACTTAACATAAAAATGTACATCACCTTAGATATGCCTTTTTATTGATAGTCTGATGATGAAGTGTATGGTGAGCAACTAGAAAATGTGGACTGCAGAAAATTCTGGTCCAAAAAGTTTTGCAATTATTGCTGTATTATTGGCAATTATTAGGAGATGATGAGCAATTATCGACAATATGGATTTATCTAAGGACAGTCACATAAAACCAATCTCATACTGTTCTGTGACAGTGCAACTGGCTCAGTGAGGCTCTTGGCAATGTCCCTTGTGACATTTCTGTAAGCAGAGAGAATGGCTAAATGGAATCATCACAACTGGTTCCAAAAGAGCTCACAGCTGGTAAAAAAACATATTCAAGGCATAGTCATCATTAGCTCAAAAGAAGATTGCAAGGAAATTTTACTATGAGAAACAATTTAATTTTTCCTTAATCTGATTACAGTCCATACTTTATTGTACAACATGGATGATATAGGTAACATAGGACTAAAATCCGGAGATTGCATCAACCCAGGAGGAATTTTGAGTATTTTAGAAACAGTCTGAAATCAGCACAACTAGATTCAATAAAAATGAATCTAAATTTACGAAGAAAAAAAAACAACCACAGAAATACAAAAAGTGAAATTAATTGTAAAAAAAATAACCATGTCATAAAATAGACAGAGAGTATACTGGTACACTTATCAATAAAAGTACCACAGGTGAGGAGAAACTGATGCTTACTTCTGTTAAGAGAAGTCGATGAGACATACTTGGGTTGATGTGCACGCTTACAACAAAACAGAGTAAGATGCAATCAATTTTAAAAGTCTTCAAAAGATAGCAGTCAGAAAGCTAAAAATTTTGGCAAGGATGACCCAGGAGGAAAGACTGAAAAATCCAGTTGTGTCACAAAAAGGGAGACTGACAGGAGACAGCAGTTGTCCTTGACTATGTAAAAGATAGCAATATGTAAAGAAAATGATGAACAGTTCATGTCCCTAGAGGAAAGAGGAATAAGTAATGTGCTTAAATTGAAGCAAGAAAGCTCTAATAAAGAAGGAGAAAGAAAATTCCCACTGCAACAGCAGCAGGACACTAAAAGTGTCCTGAGGAAGCTGCTGGTGTTGTGGTCAAGCCATTCTGCATTTGAAAAGTCCTTGTGGACAGGTAAAATCCTGGTTGACTGGAAAAAGTAAAACATTGCTCTCATTTTTAAAAAGGGGAGAAAGAAGGAACACAGAGACAATTACAGACTGGTGAGCCACTCCTCTCCCAGCCTCTCTGTGCCTGGGAAGATCGTGGGGCAGATCTTCATGGAAGCAGTGTTAAGGCACATGCAAGATATGGAGATGATTCAAGGCAACCAGCATGGCTTTATTAAGAACTGAATTGTGCCTGACTAACCTGGTGGCCCTGTGTGATGGAGTGTCTGGAATGGTCAACAACAAAAGACTTACTGATGTCATGTGCCTAGGTTTCCATGACATTATCCCATGTGACAGCTTATCTCCAATTGGAGAAGCATGGATGTACTAAGGAATTTGCTGGATGGACACAGCCAGAGAGTTGTGGTCAGTGGCTCTTGTGGACCCTCTGGTGGAGGCTGGTGAGGAGTGATGCTGGTGAGAGAGGTGCTCTTTGGTATCTTCATCAATGACATCAAGAGTGACATCAAATGGTCCCTCAGCAGGTTTATAGACGAGACAAAGCTGAACAGTGCAGCTGACACAATAGAAAGAAAGGATTCCATCCAGAGGGACCTGGACAAGCTTGAGAAACGAGTCCATGGAATCTCAGGAGGTTCAACAAGTGCAAGTGTAAAGTGCTGCCCCTGGGTCAGGACGGTCCCAATACGAGTACAGACTGGGAGAAGAACTCATTGAGAGCAGCCCTGTGGAGAAGGGCCTTGGGGTTCTCCTGGATGAAAAGCTGGACATGACTCAACAGTGTGTGCTCACAGCATATAAAGTCAACTGCATCCTGGGCTGCATCCAAAGAACTGTGGCCAGTAGGCTGAGGGAGGGGTATTTTGCCTTTCTACTCTTCTGTAACCTGCCTGGGGTACTGAGTCCACGTCTGGGTCATCCTCAACACACGATAAACACAGACCTGTTGTATAAAGTCCAAAGGAGAGTCACAAAGATGATCAGAGGACTGCAGCATCTCTCCTACCAAGCTGAGAGATACGGAGTTGTTCAGCCTGGAGAAGTCTCTGGGGAAAACTCATCACAGCCTTTTACTATCTAAATGGAACATGTCAAAAAGAGGGAGTGCAACTTTTTTTACAGGCAAATAGAGATAGGACAAAGGGACAACAGTTGTAACGTTATAGAGGAAAGATTTAGATTAGATGTTAGTAAGAAATTCTTTACACAGACGGTGGTGAGGTACTGAAACAGGTTGCCCAGAGAAGTTGTGGATGCTGTGACCTTGGAAGTGTTCAAGGACACATCAGATGGGGCTTTGAGCCA